GAGCGTATCTCCAGTATGTTTCGTTAAATGCTCGGCTAATTCCGTTGCATGCGTAGTTTTATATTCACAATGTGTACATGCAAGAGCAAATTCTGAATGTTTCTCTAAACGTAATGTTTTTTTAGTATTATGTTTCGCCATGTGCTTTATAAAATCAGTCCTGCTGGTTTTTTTGAAATCACAATGCATGCATTCATATATCTTACCAGAAACTGTCCCCCTAAAGTCGGGGTGTTTCTTCAAGATATGGTCAAACAGCGATTGCTTCTTTTTAAATGACGTCTTGCAATGTTTGCAGCTGTACAAGTCAGAGAAAGAACTGTGTATCAACGTATGCCTGGTCAAGTGACTCTTGTAAACGGTTTTGAAATCGCATATCGTACACTCATGTAACTTTGATGAAACTGATGCGGCAAATCCGATATGCCTTTTAACGACATGATTATCCAGAACCGTTTTGTTTTTGAACACCTCATTACATTTGCCACAACAAAACTTATTTATTCGGTACCGTTTCCTGGAAGCGGACCGTGATTTTTCAAACTAGGTCCTAAATGACAATTGCTTCTGTTATGAACGATCAAATCCTGTTTACGATGGCTCGTATAGTTACAAATATAGCAGCTAAACATCTTTTTTCCTGTTTCGATCTGTGAATATTTTTGTTTCCTTTTCCCCTTTTTCCTTATTTGTGCACTGAAAAAAAATTCTATTCTATTTTAACAGTCTTCACTGACATGCATCATAATTTCATTAACCGCAGAATCCCAACTTTACATTGAATGTTATAAAAATAAGGTAGAATTCACTAAATTTCTTTTAAAAACTTGGAAATCACGTACATCAGTTTTCGTTTATACGTTTCATATCAACAAGCCCAGAAATACTGCAGATTTTGAAATGTAAAAAAAATAACAATCGAAAGGTGACAAACCGTTTCCTATTCAATATAGGGCGCAAAAACTACTGAAAGCTCCACAGTGGAACAACTATACACGTTAACGTGCAAGGATTAAAGGAGACTCACCTATCGTACGCCGATACAACTCTGTCACTTTGATCACTTTCAGTTTTAATGTCAAATTCTTCATTTAGCCCCAAAGCGTCCATATTTTCAAAATGTGTGATGCTCATATGTGGTTTTTCTTCTGACTCTTGGAGCTCCATTTTCATTTGGCCAAAAGTATCTGCTGACCAGTCAGCTTCAATCCCAGGTTCTAATTTCTCTTCAATTTTGATGCTAAAACGGCAATTAAGGGACAAGGACAATTATCTTAACAAATTATATGTATACAATTTTAAATTTTAATAATAATAAAATGCCATTTAGTAGCCTTTTTGCATGTATCTCTGGATAACACATTTTTTCATCAATTTCAGCATTGTAACATGACTCATTCAGAAACGTATCTAGGGAGAGAAATTTTTGAAAAGCACTGTACAACTGATTTGTTTTTCTTGTATCTTTAGAGTGAAATGAAATAGATACAAAACAGAATCAGGCCTACCTATGCCATGTTAAATCAGATATGGTGTTTTCGTGATATTCAGATTTAATGTCAAAACCTTCATTCGGCATCAAAGTGTCCACACTTTCAAACATTATGCTGTTAACATTTGGTTTTAGTTCCGGTTTTTCAGATTTAACCACAAACCGATTCTCCATTTTTGCCTGGTCGATTCCATCACAGTGTTCATCTCTGATACTGAAAAAATACTATTTTCAGACAACAATGATATCAAGGATATCAACAACTTTTTTATAGCTTTTCTCAATGCCACAGTTTCTTCAGAAAACAAGAATATTAAATGAATTTCATAATATACCAAGTCTAAGTTCATAGATCACACAGATATGTGGTGGATCCATACAATTCCATCTTGCTATACAGAGAAATCCATATACCACCGACGTCGTGATGTATACGAGAGAAAAGCGTGCATTACGTATGTTAGAAAGAGATAGAAGTACCATGTTGCCTAGCAACCAGAGTGACGAGGCCACGGAATCAACAAAACACCTCGTCAGTGATATTTGGATTTTTCTGTATGTGGGAATTACATATGTTTCACAGAACCTTGCAGAACAATAGAAAGATTGTTGAAATTTTAAATAAGTCCTAGCCATATACCTATCATAATCAGATACATAGTCAGGATAAGCTTCTTCCGATTTTATGCAGAGCTCATCATCTGGTTTCAAATCAGTTTTTGGTTTCATACTAGTTTCTTGAGATTAAGGCGACAAAGACTAAAATATTTCGAAGATAATGTGTCCAAATGCCTCAAGTCTCAAAAATCAAAGTTGATAAAAAATCAAGAAAAGACATAAATCAACAATAAACAACAAAAACAAAACAAGGAAATAACCTAACTTTAAACAGTAGTGATACCTGCTGGGGAAAAATAAAAGTAACTACTTCTAATACTTCAATTTCAATCATGTACTTAACAAAATCACCTACAGATGTCACTACGCAAACAGGAATCGTGACATTTCCAACACGGACATTTCTTAGTAGTTATGTTTCGAAGATGAAAGGTCTCGATACCATGTATCGATTCGTATCGTTTTAGGAAGTATCGATACTCTAAAATATCGGAATAAAAATATCGAAACCTTTCGATATGGAACATAGACTGCCGAAAATGGATGTTGTTTTTTCTACAACCCTCAAAATAATGTTTACTTTTTCCAACTGCATGACTAGATTACCAAATACGTTGTTTTAAACCATAACGTTTAATCAATAGATGCTAAAAACTCTTGTGTGCGTAATTTCTCGGAACGGAATCCAACAGTTTCCGAAGTCGAAATGTAAAAATCCATTTATTTTTTGTTACCATAGGTTTACGATTTATTAGGTATTCGTGGGTCTCAAAATATTTTTTTGAGCGATATATTTTTCATATGTCGTTAAATACCCCAAAAGGTAAAAGTATTTGTTTCGAATCGCAAGACAAATAAATACATAAGAAGTAAACTATGTAACGCCATTAATAAAATTTTACATACCTTCCCAGTAAAATATGTTTTCCCAAAATCTTCCCCATTGAAATAAAACTGATTTTTGGGAAAACCCCCTAATATGGCAACCCTGGAAGCCAAAATAAATTATGGGAGGTAGTGAAGACGAAAAGCAATTTGAACTTAGTCACTCTTCACTCTTTCTGACACAGTACGGATCGAAGGATAACGATACTCGTGAAATGTATCGATACACCAAAGTATCGTATATAAAAATATCGATACAAAGTTTCGGGGATCGGAAGCAAAAGTATCGATACTTCTAAATATCGGATCGTATCGAATATCCCTATTTCTTATCGTGCCATTTCCAACAAAGACATTTCGTAGTGTTTGGAAATTCATGACTCATATGTACTCGTGGATTATTTCTGGAAATATAGATGTTCAAATCGGGTATTAAATGCCTAATCTTTATTAATCTATTATACAGGGTGTCCGCAAAGTTGGGGTTTTCCTTTACACGACGTGTAGATCTTGAAAACATAAGCAATTTTTCTTAGTACCATATACACCAATGTCTTAAGGGAACCGAGATAAAGGGCTCTGCAACATCAAAAATATCTGAATACCGTCCTGTAGCCGCGACATCCCCGAGTGGTACTAGGACACTAGCTCAACCCGACGACAGAACTGGGTTGGGGTCAGTGTGTCAGGTCAGTATGCAACCTTCAACCGACGGTTATGGTCACGCGTGTAGAGGTAATCGCGTAGACGAGAATCCCTCAACAAGCACTAGAGACGTGGCTAGAAAGTGCAAGTATCAAAAACTAAAGTGTGACAAACGCTGCGTGAAGAGGGGCTGTATCCGTTTCACGTCCAACGTGTACAAGCCCTTCAACCTGACGATTTTCCAGCAAGAGTGCGGTTTTGTGAGTGATTATTGCATCAACATGACAATAATCCGGACTTTTTGAAGTGCATATTGGTGACAGACGAATCTACGTTCACGCGTAATGGGGTGAATAACTTTCGCAACACTCATGTTTGGTCAGTAGAAAATCCGCACGCTGTCCGTCGGGCACATTTTCAACAAACATTTTCGGTGAATGTTTGGGCTGGCATGGTGAACGGTATGCTCATTGGACCATTTATTCTCCCAAATCGATTGGACGGGATGCAATACCTAGACTTTTTACGCAACATTTTGCCTTCATTGTTTGGCTGCGTCTGCTCGGTAGCGCATCAGCTGATTTCATTTTCTGTTGGAGCGGTATGATTTCGGGCAGAGACGTACTTAGCCCTTCTCGTCAACTGGAGAGTGAGTACTTTTTCCTTTATTTTTTTTACTTGGTCGCCCTCGTTTCACTACACATTACCTTTGTTATTTCAAGGGTAGTCGTTTCTGAAAAGGAAAACCCCAACTTTGCGGACACCCTGTATAGTTTCGATCACAAGCCAAACAATGGAACATGATGAAAGAAAAAGACATCACATTTTTAGAGAGTAGGGCTGGCATGCCTCCGTATACCTTATTTCACGGTAGAATAGGCCATATAGTTCTGACGGATCTGTCAACGCCATGTAGAGAGAGCCGAATTTCGTTTTGATTTTTTTGTACGCTACAGATTCATTTTGTACTTGCCAACAGCTCTTTTATCTAGAAAAGTTTTTTGTATGCCAAAACAGAACGCAAAAAACAAGTTTCATTAGATTTATACCCGATACATTATTGCCAACGTTGCAGACTAACACAAAAATGTTACTTGCTGATCAACTGTTCACCTCAGTAGACGTCAAAGCGTGATGGACACTCGAGAAATATGCTATATTCTTTCTGGTCCACCCTGTACCACATCAACAAGTAAAGCCAAATCTATTACTTTCTTTTAGTAGTACGATACTTTGTATTTTTATTCCATGCTGATTTTTTGGTTTATTAATAAGAAGACATGTATTATCAAAGTATGTTTATTCCAAATACAATTTGAAATGTATAACAAAAAAACTAAAAAAAAAAATGAATATGTACAGAAAAAATGTTCTCTTCAGGTGAATAATTCGAAACGTCGTGAACTAAAAAAACTGATGACCGAAATAAAACTTTTGAAACATCCACACTGTCTACAAATTTCAAACAAACCCTATAGAGTCTTAAATCAAAGAGACTATCAAAATCTAGAGTTTTAAAAAAATGTTTGTTTGAGTTACCACCCTTTAGGGATAGAAATATAATTATATATATATATATATAGGTGAAAAATTAAAGCTTCCGCCTTTTGTTGGGTACTTGGACAAAATTTAAGCAAAGAGGACTCTATACTTTTTTAATTCTCTCTAGCTTTCAATGGACTTTGCCATCATCATCGGGAGCTGCAATTACATTGATAACAGTAGCAACAATAGTGTAAAATGAATTTAAATTGACTTAACTTACAGTAGTACATTTTACACTATTGTTGCTACTGTTATCAATGTAATTGCAGCTCCTGATGATGATGATGGCAAAGTCCATTGAAAGCTAGAGAGAATTAAAAAAGTATAAAGAGTCCTCTTTGCTTAAATTACCCAACAAAAGGCGGAAGCTTTAATTTTTCACCTAACTGGTCTAGACGACAATGACCACGTCTCAATATATATATATATATATATAGACAAGTTGGACGCCTTTATGGCCTCCTTGATTTTCATAGTCTTTTTTCTCCTTCTGGAGTATTTCTAGATTTCTGCTGCTTCCTGTCAGCATCAGCGCTCTCCTGTTGTAAGGCTTTGTTTTCTTTTTGAACTCTAGGAAATGTGAGGCTGATATAACAGATGATATAAATCAAAATTGATTGATGCAAATAGATATCTGCGACGTAACCTCAAAATCAAGGAGACAATAAAGGCGTCTTACAATTGAAGAGCAAAAATGCAAATCCATGACAAAACGACAAAACCTCTAGAGAAAAATCCTCGTCAAATTTAAAACTTTTGAAATTCCATTTTCCATTAACCCAATTCCATGCCTAACTGAAAAATCGTAAAAAACGGATTTATCGGTTTTTGCATTTTTGCTCTTCAATTGTAGGAACGACTGACGATACGGTCCTAAGTTAGGAGCATACTGTTGCCTTCAATTTCGGTATTCAAATTTTTTGTGTACCTTTATAAAAAATCACCCTGTATGTTTCCTTAAATGATTATTAAATCTGTCTTTTCGGGTGATTTTATATTCACACTGTGTACATTCGTATATTTTACGAGAAACAGAAGCAGTAAACTCAGGATGAATCCGTAAAATATGGTCATCTAGTGACTGTTTAAGCCTGAATGATGCATCACACTTGGTACACTTCAACTTGGCTTCCGTATGCCTCACAATATGCCTATTCAAAGACCCCGGGTGTGCAGTTTTGTATTCACAATGCGTACATTCATGTACCTTGCACGATACAGAAGCCGCAAACTCGGGATGCTTCTGTATAATGTGGTTGTCTAATGACTGTTTAAACGTAAACGAAGCATCGCACTTTGTGCACGTGACCTTAGCTCTGGTATGTTTCGTCATATGCCCGATAAAGTCCCGCGCGCGTATCGTTTTATATTCGCAATGCGTACATTCGCGTACCTTACTAGACACAGAAGCAGTGAACTCGGGATGTTTCCGTACAATGTGATTGTGCAATGACTGTTTCAACGCAAACGAAGCATCGCACTTTGTACACTTGAGCTTAGTTCCGGTATGTTCCATGATGTGCCTAGCTAAGGCCTGCGTGTGGGTCGTTTTATAGCCGCATTGAGTACATTCGTGTATCTTATGAGACACGGAAGTGGTAGAGAGAGGATGCTTCTGCAAAATGTGATTGTCTAACCATACTTTGGTTCTAAATGACGCGTCGCATTTATTACAAGTGAACTTGCACGTTCCAGTATGTTTCATGATGTGCCTAGCTAAAGACCTCGCGCGTATAGTTTTGTATTCGCATTCTGTACATCCGAGGATCGTATGAGAGACAGAATCAGTAAATTCGGAATGTTTTTGTAAAATGTGGTGATCTAGGCATAGCTTGCTTTTGAACGACGCATCGCAGTTCGTGCACCCAAACGGCTTTTGAGCGTTATGTTTTGTCATGTGCCTTATGAAATTACTCCTATTTGTTATTTTTAGTGCGCAATGCATACATTCATATAACTTCCTGGAAATTGTCCCGCCAAACTTGGGATGCTGCTTTAGAATATGGTCAAAGAGCGATTCCTTTCTTTTAAATGACATATCGCAATGTTTGCATAGGTGCGTGTGCCTGGTTAAAATACTTTTATGAACGGTCGAGATATGATTATCTAATAACGCTTTACTCTTGAACGCCTCATTACATTTATTACAAATATTCAATCGGTACTGTATCCTAGAAACAGATCGTGTTTTTTCCAAACTCGATCCTAAACTGCAATTATTTTTCTTGATATGGCTGATTAAACCTTTTTTAGTAGGATCGGTATAGTTACAATTATAGCAGCTTAACAATTGTTTCTCTTCTTTGACTTGTAAATACTTTTGCTCCGTTTTCCACTTCATTTGTGCTCTGAAAAAAAATAAATTCATTTCTATTCCATTTCAATGTTATTCACTGATGATGCATTAACTTGCGACATAATCCCAAATCATTGAATCTGGATGTTATTATTAAATGAAATTAACTGGTTACTTAGCAGATGCATGTTTGGAGTGTAGGTAGTTAGAATGAAACCGAAGAAACGTCCTATTTGCACGGAAAGGGTAATAGGAGGTCGAGCCGAAATATATACATTTATTGCGGAAAGTCAAAAATTCGATAATTTGAGTTATAGTCAACTTTCGAAAAATTTGAGATATCACTTTTTAGGATAGCCCAAAGATCAAAAAGATGCATAGAAAAATTTCCAAGATCAAAAATTGAGAGAAATCGTGTATGAAAAATGGCGTTTGAGGACATCTTTCTAAGAATATTGTACATCTAAACGAAATCCGAATCCAGTTGGTATAAATTGTAACGCCTATGGCAAACTCCTCTTTCACCTGCAAAATCAACTTGGGTTTGTTGCTGTTTCAATTAGGAATAGAATTAGTATACCAGCCAGTTGTTGATGTATACAAGGTGTCCAAAAATAACGTCAATATCTGGCATGTAACGGGTGCGCCATCTATTACTTTTTTTTACCTATAAGTTTATGTAGTAGTAGTAGTAGAAAGATTTATTTAGCACATTTGGCTACATAAACAGAACAATTGTAAACAACTTAGAACTAGTAAATTCAAGCCATATGGTGTATGATGTAAATGCTGGGCAACCTATAATTGTAGATTTAACAAGTGACAATTTTACTTTAAATTTTGTCAAAGTTTTCTGGTCTTTTATCTCCGAGTATAATTTATTATATTCAATCAACCCTTGATGGAATACAGATTTGTAGCATATGTTATACTTTTTGGTCATTAAATGGAAGTCATCTTTATTTCTGGTATTATGTAAATGATGGTCGACATTTGATGATGTTAAATTAGTTAGACTTGATGGAAATATATTATTTTTTACTTTATAAATGAATATCATTACAAGATATTTGATAAATTTTTTTACATTGAGCCATTTTAATTTGCTAAGCATTTGCCTAATTGGAGTATATTTATCTTTATTTAGTATTATTCTCATGCACTTATTTTGTAAAATTTGCAGTCTTTCAAAAATGGAATTATTTGCTAAATATAGAATAGTCGAACAGTACAAGAAATTTGGAAGAATGATGGTATTATAGATAATTTTTCTGCTATATGAACTCAGACATCCAGAAACTCTCGATAAGTATCCCACTTTACTACTAATCTTATTTATAACTTTTTCATAATGAATATCAAAAATTAATCGAGAGTCAACAAAAACTCCCAGGTATTTAAAATTTTCTACGAATTCAATATCTTCACCATCAATATTCAGTTGAACATTTGTACATTGTTTTTTTCCGATTAACAAGGCTTTCGTTTTACTTGCATTTAATTTTAGTCTGTTAGATGCTAACCATTTTGAGACAAGCTTCAAGTCTTCATTTATATAAGAGATATCAGACTGAATATTTTTAGTACTTATATAAATCATAGTGTCATCGGCGAAAATTTGAATTTTGCATTTTTTGACTATGGTAGGTAAATCATTTATGTATAAAATAAAAAGGAGTGGTCCCAGGATACTGCCCTGTGGAACACCCAACGTATTTTCAATTTTTGATGAAATAGTGTCATTAACTTTTGTAACTTGCATCCTTTTAGACAAATAATTTCTAAACCAATCTAAAACACTCCCTGTTATACCACATGCCTTCAATTTACCTAACAAAATATCTCTATCAATCGTTTCAAATGCCCTCTTCAAATCCAAAAATACTGCTATGACAACTTCTTCCGAGTCTATGGCTCTTCTCCAATTCTCAGTTACCAAATGGAAAGCTGTTTCTGTGGAATATTTTTTTCGAAAGCCTGCTTGCGCCTCCACTAACATTTTGTTTTCTTCTATAAACTGCATTAATTGGTCATGCACTATGGACTCTAATAATTTTTCAATGTCTGGTAACACATTTACTGGTCTCATATCGCTGCATCTTTTAGAATTTTTTATTTTGGGAACTGGTGTTATTGTAGAGCATTTCAAATTTTCAGGGAAAGAACTGCTTCTCAGTGAACAATTGATCCAATTTAATACAGGATATCCCAAAATTTCGAAACAGTTTTTCAGCACGTTTTTAGTAGTCATGTGAGTCAAAAGTCATGAGGTATGCATAAATGAACTGTCAAAGGTATGCCATTTATAGTCATGGATTCGTTTACAACACAACAACGCATTTTGGTTATCCAAACTTATTACGAAAACGGTCGAAATGTAAAAAATACTTTTCGCAAACTTCGCACTAGTTTTGGCCGACATGGACGCCCTGGGATTTATGTAGAAATTTAGGGTCAGTTAGAAATATTATTCATTTGCTTAAAAACATAAGTTATTTTAATTATTTAAAAAATTAATATTTTTTATTTTTCAGAAACTACAGCTACTTAAGTTTTAAGATTTTTATTTCTATTACTTATTGTATTAATAAAAATTATTCTAATAAATTTTATTAGATGAAAATTTGTGTTTTTATAGAAAAAAGTCAATAAATCAGTTTTCACAAAAATGTTGACCAAGTAATAGATAATATTTTACGTTATTATCGTAGCAGGTTTTGAATAAAAAGTCATAAAATTAACCACTTGACTATATTATGTCCATAAACATATAATAAGCCTAAGTCCAAGAAGTGGACTTGGTATACTTGCTAAAATTGAAAGTAATCTATGTCCAACTGTTTGCTTTAACGTTAATGTTTTTCGTTTTTACTAAGGTATATTAAAAACAGACATATTTAGAACATGTGTACAAATTTTCATTGAAATATCTGTATAAATAAAGAACCTATTCAAAAAAATCCGTTTCCTGAAAACTTTGATTTTTGGACTTAGGCTAGTTCTATTCTAAAGCGACGATATGTTTCCTTGAATGATTCTTAAATCTATAATTTTGTGTTGTTTTATATTCACAGTATTTACATTCGTGTATTTTACGAGATACAGAATCGATAAACTCGGGATGCTTCTGTATAATGTGGTCGTCCAAAGATCGTGTGCTCGTGAATGACGCATCACACCTTGTACACTTGAACTTAGCTCCGGTATGTTTCATGATATGCCGATTCAAGTAGTACGCGTACATGGTTTTATATTCACAGTGTGTGCATTCGTGTATCTTCCGAGACAAAGAAGCCGTGGACTCGGGATGTTTCTGTAAAATGTGATTGTCCAACGATCGTTTGTCTGTAAATGACCTGTCACATTTTGTACACGTGAGCTTAGTTCCGGTATGTTTCAGTATATGCCCAGCTAATTCACTCTCGAATGTAGTTTTATATTTACAATATGTACATTCGTGTATCTTGCGAGACACAGAACCGGTAAGCTCAGGATGCTTCTGCAAAATATGGTTGTCTAAACGTTGTTTGGTTGTGAATGACGCATCACATTTTGTACACGTGAGCTTGACTCTAGTATGTTTGATCATATGTTTAGACAATTGCGGTAGGTATGGCGTTTTAAATTCACACTGTTTACATTCATGCGTCTTACTGAATATAGAAGCGGTAAACTTGAGGTGTTTCTGCAGGATGTGATTATCTAACCCGAGTTGCGTTGTAAATAACGCATCACAGTTTGTACAACTGAGCTTAACACCGGTATGTTTCATCAAATGCGTAGCTAAACTGCGCGCGTTTGTAGTTTTATATGCGCAATGTGTACAATCGTGTATCTTACTAGACACGGAAGCAATCAACTCGGGATGCTTCTGTAAAATGTGGTTGTGAAACCACTGTTTGCTCGTAAATAACGCATGACACTTTTCACACGTGAACTTAGTGGTTCCAGTGTGATGCATCATATGCCTATCCAAATCTCTCGCGTGTATAGTTCTATATTCACAATGTATACATTCGTGTACCTTATAGGATACAGACTCGGCAAACTCGGGATGTTTCTTCAAAATGTGGTCGTCCAGATATAGCTTAGTTTTAAACGACGCATCGCAGTTTATACACTCACAGGGCTTTCGATTGTTATGTTTTGCCATGTGCCTTATAAATTTACTCCTCTTAGTTATTTTGAATGCGCAATGTTCACATTCGTATATCTTTCTAGAAATTGCCTCGCTACAATCGGGATGTTTTCTTAGGATATGATCGAACAGAGAATCCATATGTTTAGCTGACATATTACAATGTTTGCAAACGTGTAGCTCGGGATCTTTAGCGGCAGTGTGCCTTATCATATGCCTGGTTAAAGAAGTCTTATAAACGGTTTTGAAATCACATAACGTACATTTATGTATTTTCAAAGAAACTGATCAGACATGTTTCCTAATCGCGTGATTATCTAATAAAATTTTGCTTTCGAATACCTCATTACATTTGATACAACAAAACAATTCATTTGGGTATTGTTTCTTGCGAATGGATAGGGATTTTTCCGAATCAGGTCCTGAATGACACTCGTTGCTTTTGAGGTGACTGATCGAACCGTTTTTACGATTGCTCGTATGGTTATGAACAGAACAGCTAAACAACTGATTTCCTTCTTGGACTTGTGAATATTTTTGCTCCCTTTTCCGCTTTTTCTTTACTTGTGCACTGAAATAAAAAACATATTCATCACTTCTATTTCAATGATCTTCACTGACAATGCATCATAATTGCATTATTAAGAGATTTTCAAAGAAACTGCATTTTTTCCAGAATTTCTAACCAGTTACGGTTCATAATACAGGGTGGACCAGAAAGACGTACGAATTTCAATACCTCATTGCTCGTGATAGGCAAGCGGGAGAGGCACGGGTATTACGTATTACTTGAAAAGTGACAGTATGTCGATTTTTTGACATTGTATTGTTTTTTTGTGACAGCCCAACCAGCAAAGTAGTGCTATAAGCTTTTGGTAAAAGAACCGTTCAGCCATAAAAGCTCTCTATTATTGTTGCCTGAACACCAAAATGCTGGCTTAATGTTGTGTGGAATGCATGAGGTGTTTGAGATATTCTTATAGCATAGTTATCCAACACCTTATAGGGCAAATTTTTAACTGATGCATAAAGGTTTATACAACTATTTTATACGGCATATTTGCAGGTTAGTCAAAATGGTTGTGTTGTGGCATCCATGGTAACGTTTATAAAACAAATCCGAGCCTTGTTGTTTTGCTGTGCAATTTACTACTTTAGCCAACAAATTGCTCCCAACGGAAGCACTTATACAACTGTTGTTTAGTAACTGCTAAATATGTTGGTATACAACTTCACCATAACCTAACTTTCTGCTGTCATATTTTTGTTAAAATGTCATAACCAATATTTTAAGACAAACAACACATGCATATTGGTTCAAAAGCTTTTATCAACTGTTCAAACAGAAGATATAGATCTGGTACAAATTCTGGGCAACTCATTCGACTCTGTCGGTATTTCATTTCAGACATTTGTCAAATTGTTGTATAACACCTGCAGGCAACACCAAAATATTCTAATAAACTAAAGACAACATGGACGATGCCATGATTATACACAACCACCAGCCATATTGGGCAAACATTTATTCCTCTATTTAATATTAAATAATTATGTTTCAGTTCGAAATTACAGATATAAAGTGATAAACATTAGTGTAATTGCGTCTAAATATAGGATTTGTGGCGGATTTAACGCAGATAAGTTCAGTTTTCCATCTTAAAAATCTAGACATACTTTTGATCATTATCAAAATATGAATCAAATACGAAGCCCGTAGAAATTGCGTAACTACTTTGCACGATAATCACAATAAAATTTGCTGCGCAAGTAATTCAATAGCCCTATATTACAGTGTAGAAGTTTATCATATACCTGTGTATGAAATTCACAATGGCCGATATGCAACTCCTCGTCCGTTGACCGCCTAGATGTTTCGAATCTTTATGGAACCGAAGCGGCTATTTTTAAATTACAGCAGACGCTCGATAACGTAAACACGGGATAATGAAAACTTGCGCTAATGTAAACACAAACTTCGTTCTATCGGATCAAACGGAACGCACGATAACGTAAACAATGTGTACGCTCGATAACGTAAACAACTCTCGGCGCACGGAAACAGCGCGACGGTAAAATCCTGAAGCCTCGATGATTTATGTCGGGCGTCGGGGAGTCCCCGATTTATGATGTAGAGTGTAGGGAATTCACCTCTGCGATAAAATACGACAAACTCGGTCAGTCGTATGATCGTTTAGGATACGTTTATACGTACGTATGTATTTCATTTTTGAACTTAAGTGAATACATTGCACGCGTTAATACATTTTACGACTATGGCATCCACATCCTATAAAAGAAAGTGTTTAAAGTTGAGTGAGAAAGTGAAAATCATAGGCGAAGTTGCACTAGGTGCGGGAGTGACACAGTTAGCAAAAAAATATGGAGTATCGAAAGCAACAATCTGTAAAATTAAGCGTATGAAAACTCAAATTTTACAAAGAACGTACAATACATTTGGAGGTCCGGGAAAAAGAAAAAGACAATGCTAAGCGCAAATTTACGCAGACAAAAATTGTTAATTATTTTTCTTCTAATTAAAAAAATACTTATCGCTGTTAGAATATTTGTCTTTTTTGTTATAAATAGTATGTATTAAACGTTTCTTTTAATAAATCAAATATTATATAAATCACGTTCGCTAATGTAAACATTTCGATAATGTGAACTACACTTGGATTAAATTAGTTTACATTATCGAGCGTCTGCTGTATTATTAAATTGTACAAAACAACGGGATCTGTGGCTCAAAAATCCAAAACTATTATTATTCCAGTTTGAACTCAAGAGCCTTAAAATGGATTATCAAGGAAAATCGGCGTGCTAATTATGAAGAATTGTAAATATTATCGAATAAAAAAAAAACACAAACAAGTTTTCAAGAGCAACTTGTCATAGAGCTGCCCAAAAACTGTGATTTAAAACTTGCAAAACAGCTGAAAACTTCATCATACTTCAGGAGCGTGTATACCTACATAAAAAAGTTTTTGACAATCGGAGTCTCGAAACTCGAAACGAAATTAATTAAAACCTTGTATGCCAGAAATTCACATATCATTCTGGGACACCCCATACAGTTTTAAGATTAGAGACTCACCTATCGGCCGCCGAATCACGTCCGTCACTTTGGTAACCCTCAGTTTTGATGTCGAATTCTTCATTTAGCGCGATCGCGTCCGTATTTTCAAAATAGGTGCTGCATTCTTCCAGTTTTTCAGGCTCTTGAAACTCCATTTTGATCTGGTCAACAGTATCTGCCGTCCAGTCAGCTTCAATTGCAGGCAATAATTTCTCTTCAACTTTGATCCTAAAACAGTAATGTAGGGGCGCTTCAATACAGGGTGATTTAACCTACTGCCTTTGGAAATAAAGAATTGCCACAATCTAAAGACTGACAATAGCTTTGATAGTGTGGAAGAATATTGTGATACATTAATCTTACTGTTTACTATTTAACTGTTTTTTTTGTCAAGGAGAAATAAATAAATTGAAAGCAAAACCAAACCCACCTATCCCATTTTGATTCTTCATCATATTCGGATTTGATGTTGAACTCTTCCTTCAGCATCAAAGTATCCGAATTATCAAAATTTGTGTTGTCCACAGTTGTTTCCGTATCTGGTTTTTCAGATTTAACTTCAACTATTAACTGGTGCTCCATTTTCACCTGATTAACTCCATCCCAGTGTTCAGCTTTGACATTAAAACAATATTAACTTATTGTCAGTCCTTCCTACAGATTGCAGGTCAACTTTACTGTCCCCTTGATTTTCTGCTGTTCCGTGGCAGCACTCTATTTTGAGGTTATGTTACAAATATCTAATTGTTCATGCTTTTCATCTGCTATATCAGCCTGAAATTTCGTACAATCATAAAGAAAACTTAGCCTTGCAATAGGAGAGCACAGATGCTGAACAGTAGAAATCGAAAAATACCCAAGCCTTTCTGGACGAGATAAAGGACTATGAAAATCAGAAAGGCTCCCTGAACAGTTGAAGCTGGCCTAAATTGTAACTGTCCCTAAAATCTTACACAACTTAAAACATCTTAGCTAAAACCTTTCAAAAATTCTAGAAAAAATCAAACAGCATCAGTACATGGAACTATTTAGACTATACTTCTATGAAAGGTACTGACGAGTACTCACGCCATGCCAAGACTCATTCCCGTAAATAAAGTGTCACGAGTTAGACTTCTCAACCACCGCACTACAGTGCTTGACAGCTTATCAATCTGGAAAGAACACCCAACTGCATTAAAAGAAGGGTGGAATAAAATAATTATCTTAAAGATGATTTTCTCAGTACTCAAAAACTCATCGATACTTGACACTTGACAACATTACCCACCAGCTGAAAACAGTAATGTGACAGTAATTACTGGTGACATCTGTTGGAGAAAAATAGAAGTGGCTACTTCTCATACAGATTTCAATATTTAGTTATGTTTTCACCATATCATCCACATGCCTTTAAAGAATTTTTAAATTAAAATTGATTCTGGCCGATATGTTATTCAATGTTTTGACGTAATTAAAAAAATGATACTTAAAATGCCACCATACAATGAATTTAGATTCCCTTTTCTCGATACGAAACGAGTCAAAGATTATATAGCCCAGTCAACATTTCTACCGAAATTTTATTTTCAAATCGTGATTTGCAATGCACTGTTTCACAAAGAGCAAACCGACAACAATTCTGCTCTTCAGTCAACAGGTGGGGTATCCAACGAGAAACTAATTTTCTTACTCCTAATTCTTCATGTAAATTTTTTTGAATTGAAGTCTTTGAGATCTTCAAGGACGCCTCATTCTCGCGATATGTCACATGTCTATCTTCAATGATGAGTTTGCGTTTGCGCACAGCATCGACGTTTTCCTGGGTGACTGCCGTTTTTGATGCACCCACCCTGGGATCGTCGTTAAGACTCACCCGCCCACGTTTGAATTTTCCATACCAACGGGAAATTGTCGATTGATGTGGCGCTTCGTTGCCGAAAACAGACAGTAACTCAGCAAGGCATTCTTGTTGCGGTAATTGTCTCTGAAAGTTGTGATAAATTATGGCGCGAAAATGTTCTCGGTTGAGTTCCATTTTTCTAATGACTTGGTGACACTTCAAAATTCACTGTAGTGATAACACTGCACGTATTGTTGTGAAACTTTGAATTTAAGTTTACTAAAGAGTGAGGTTAAGATTCAGTACTAACGTTCGATCCGCACGGCCTACTATGTTTCTATATGCAAAACTTAAAAGACATCCCTCGAACGTTACTGGTAGTAAGATTGCGGAATATAAATATGAAATTTCAATTGATTCAATTTTGTAAAGTCCACCAAACATGGCAAAATTGTGGTCATTGTTTAGTGTTGATAATAATTTTTGGATTATTATTCAGAAGACGTGTAATGCTTGAATATATTTATTTCACATACAATATATGAAATGTACAACATAATAGAACGGTAATACAGGTATATCGAAGATGTACAGAAAAAAAACGTGCTAATATCGAAATAAAATCGTATCACCCTCAAATAACATTAGGAAACATAAATTGAATGCTAAATTAGGAAATATACAAGTTAATTACATATAAACTGGAGGCTTTCTTTCGCTCCGTACAATTGTAACTTAATATAAGTTAATAAACTAACAGGGATGGTAAAATAGACAAAAAGATTAAATAAGGAGTTTATTCTAATTCATTTAACAATACGTTTATTCCTGTAGGGGCTGGTTTTTCAATCACAGGTTAACTGCAGATTTACTGCTAACCGGAATTTGAACGTTTTTCAATGCCAGGTTTGCCATAAACAGTAGATACCTAACTTTATCTAGAGGTCCAGGTATCGGTGAAATTGATAGATGTAGTTAAACCGCGATTTCGCTTGCCAGTGACATGAGTTGTCACGGATGACACGAGACACGATCATCGAGGGTAACCAAACGCACAGAACACATTACATCAAGTTAACTTGCGATTGAAAAACCGGTCCGAAGTTATATAAAGTTGCATTGAAATCAACTAGAGAGATACCGGGTATTATTGGTGGGACTATAGTTATGCTATCCACTATACGTAAATAAATACTAAAGAATAAAATTATATTCGTTTAAAGTATTTTTTCCATTTAGAATTAAGTCTGGATCACAGATCTGTATGTGTTCAAGGAATTCCGACTAGGCAGAACGAGCAATCCTACGGGTCGTCTCCAAAATCTCAGTCTGTAGTCAAGATGCCAGTGGACTTGACATAACTCATTCCTATGGAGGAATCACTCAACGATCATTCTGCCAGTTCGCCAACATGCTTTATTGATTGCAGAATGTCGAGAGTCTGTAGAATATATCTGAGAAATGTGAATGTAACAGAAAGAAAATAGGTTGAGTAGCAAGAACGCATCTGCTAGCTAAGCGTTCACTAAATAATGGTGCAACAAAACTTAATTTGAGTTTGACCTTGAGATTCGGATCACGTTTGATGTGCTGGATTCGAGAATGGCGGTACAACTGTGCATTAGTGTTACTTTTTTCTTTGAATTGTCATGACAACGGTTAAAATTGAAAAGCTAATTTCTCTGCAAAGGCACGCATTCGCCACAAATGAAACAAAAACAATGACTATGACTGTGTATGCTTCCAGGCATGCTTAGTTAATTTATATTTCCGTGTCGTTTTATATTCACAGTGTGTACATTCATATATATTACAAGATACAGAAGCAATAAATTCAGGATGTTTCTGTAAAGTATGGTCATCCAATGACTGTTTACTCGCAAATGACGCATCACACTTTGTACACGTCAGCTTAGCTCCAGTATGTTTCATCATATGAATAGCTAAGCTCTTCGCGTATGTAGTTTTATATTCGCAATCTGTACATTCGTGTATTTTATGGGACACACATGCAGTAAGTTCGGGATGCTTCTGTAAAATGTGGTTGTCTAACGGACATTTGGTTATAAATGACGCATCACACCGTGTACACGTTAGCTTAGCTCCCGTATGTTTTATGATGTGCCTAGCTAAATCCCTCGCGTGAGTGGTTTTATATTTACAATGTGTGCATTCATGTATTTTATAAGACACAGAAGCAGTAAAGTCGGGATGTTTCTGTAAAATGTGGTTATCTAACGAATATTTGCTTATGAATGACGCATCGCACTTTGTACACGAGAGCTTAGCTCCAGTATGTTTCATCATATGGCTAGCTAAATTCCTCGCGACTATAGTTTTATATTCGCAATGTTTACATTCGTGTATTTTACTAGATACAGAAGCAGTAGACTCAGGATGCTTCTGTAAAATGTGGTTCTCGAACGATTGTTTGCTAATAAATGATGCATCGCACTTTGTACACGTAAGCTTAGCTCCAGTATGTTTCATGATATGAGTAGCGAAATCCCCCGAGCGTGTTGTTTTATATTCACAATGTGTACATTCATGTATTTTACAGGACAATGATGCAGACAACTCAGGATGTTTCTGGGAAATGTGATTGTCCAACGTTCTTTTGCTTGTAAATAACGCATCACAGTTTGCACACGTGATCTTAACTCCAGTATGTTTCATTATATGACTATCTAAGCTTCTTACGTGTGTAGTTTTATATTCGCAATGTACGCATTCGTGTATCTTGCTAGACACAGAAGCTGTACACTCGGGATGTTTCTGTAATATGTGGTGGTCCAAACTTGGTTTAGTTTTAAATGATGCATCACAGTTCATACACTCAAAGGGTTTTTGAGCATTATGTTTTGCCATGTGCTTTATAAAATTTGTCCTACTAGTTATTTTGAATGCACAATGTATACATTCATATATCTTACTGGAAACTGTCCCGCTATACTCGGGATGTGTTTTTAGAATATGGTCGAATAGCGGTCGATTTTTTTTAAATGACGCATTACAATGTTTGCAGATGTGACGGTCAGGAACGTCATTGTGTCTCAACATATGTCTAGTAAAATCTCTTTCATGAACGAATACGAAATCGCAAACTTTACATTCATGTATTTTAAATGGAATATATCCTGTATGCTTCCTAGCCAAATGATCATCTAGCAATGTTTTGCTTTTGAACACCTCATTACATTTGATACAAATATCTAGTCGGTATTGTTTCTTGGAAACAGATCGTGATTTTTCCAAATTCGATTCTAAATGGCAACTGTTCCTTTTTTTATGAACGGTTAAATCCTTTTTACGAACGCTCGTATAGTTACAAGTAAGGCAGCTGAACGACTTTTTTCCTTCTTCGATCGGTGGATTTCCTAGTTCCTTTTCCCGCTTTTTCTTTATTTGTGCGCTGAAAAAAAGTTTCATTATAGTTTTCGTTTCTTGATTGATAAACACGATCGATTCAGTTTCGCATTGCGCGACAGAGTCTGACGTTTGCATTAACCGTTATTCCTGTAAATAATATTATTTTATAGGATCCTTTTAAGCAGGGTACGGAGAATATATATATACATATATAGGTGAAAAATTAAAGCTTCCGCCTTTTGTTGGGTACTTCGACAAAATTTAAGCAAATAGGACTCTTTATACTTTTTTTAATTCTCTCTAGCTTTCAATGGACTTTGCCATCATCATCAGGAGCTGCAATTACAATGATAACAGTAGCAACAAAAGTGTAAAATGAATTTAAATTGAATCAACTTACAGTAGTATGTGAGGATGTTGCTAATTGTTGTTTTCGTATAGGATGAGGGAAACGTCCAGTAACATGGTGAGAGCTGGATACATGGTACAATGGTTAAAATTATATAAAATATGACAAGACAAGTTAAAGACAGATTAAAAATTATTTAGAAAACATTAGAGCATTACGTCGTGAAGCCACTTGATGATTGCACAAAATGGTGGTCATGGAATAATGAGTGAGATGAACCTTTGACAGAAGGCCGAAGGTTGCCAATGTCTGTGTTGAAAGATGGAACGAATTGTGGGCGTGTGCCAAAACGTTGCCAAATCACTTCAGATGATGTGATTTTCAGAATGTTATGTAAGAAATTGTTAAGCCGACCAGATTCAGTTGAATAAACTATATTTTAATTAATGGGAATTTTAAATTAACAATTATTAATAAATCGTGAGAAGAGAATGACCACGTCTCAAGTTATATATATATATATATACATATATATATATATATATATATGTATATATACAATAATTTTGTTTCATTAGAATTAAAAATAGTCTATCCTAAACGACGGAAAATTGTCACTGTATATATTTTTCCCGCGATATTTTGAATGCATAATCAAAAAGGAAGGCGGTACTGGAAAATAGCCAAAATGTCGAGAGTGCTCAAAAGAGATACAGGGTACACCGTCACGAATTGAGAAACACATTAACACCAAAAAAATGTGGCTTCCAACCTACAGTTATCATCCGCTCCAAACAATGTCCGAGTATGTGCAGGTATCTGTGTATATATTGACTGAGAAGGCGTTACATTTACAACCTCCTGTCCCTTCAACGGTCAACTTTCAGCTCGTAATAATTATTTTCCAGGAGCCTCTGGAACGTCAAAAACAAAGTTCAAGCGATTTTTATTTTTTTCATCCTTGTGTGAAAATTTCATCAAAATCCGACCGGTACTTCTCAAGTTATAAGATTAGCGGACAGACGGAAATCAGTGATTTTTCATGATGTACATGTCATATAACGTAAAACACATACCTTTATTTTAAATTTTACTGCAGTTTTGGCATGGGAAGTAAAACTGTGTAACCGATACAATAACTTAAACGAATAATGATTAATTTCCTTCAATTTCTTTTTTTACGTTTTTGCTGTTTCTGGTTGAACGCACATTACGTTTTATCAACTGTTCAAACAGAACATATACATCTGGTACAAATTCTGGGTAAATCATTGGACTCTATCGGTATTTCATTTCAGACATTTGTCAAATTGTTGTATAACACCTGCGGGTAACATCAAAATATTCTAATAAACTGAAGACAACATGGACGATGCCATGATTATACACAACCACCAGCCATATTGGGCAAACATTTATTCCTCTATTTAATATTAAATAATTGTGTTTCAGTTCGAAATTACAGATATAAAGTGATAAACATTAGTGTAATTGTGTCTAAATATAGGATTTGTGGAAGATTTGACGCAGATAAGTTCAGTTTTCTATCTTAAAAATCTAGACATACTTTTGATCATTATCAAAATATGCATGAAATAAGAAGCCCGTATAAATTGCGTATTTACTTTGCACGATAATCACAATAAAATTTGCTGCGCAAATAATTCAATAGCCGTATATCACAGTGTAGAAGTTTATCATATACCTGTGTATGAAATTCACAATGGCCGATATGTAAGTAAACAAGATGACTGTAATGTGTTAGTTATATATTCTTCACTTCGTCTATGCAATACATAAGAAATAGTTTGGTTGCAATATAGTAGAATAACGTAACAGAATAGTTGTATAGTTGACAAAAACTGAATCTTGCACTGACGCAAATGTCCTATAGCGGCTGCAAGGGGCTTACACTTTTGTTGTATAAATGTTACCTGCAGCCCTTATACAACCTCTTAAATGACTGAAGTGTCCTATTAGGTGTGCTCATTCCGCTTGTATAGCTATTCTAAGAGGGTTTTGCCAATCTTCTTACAGTATACAATGCTGTGTAAGGAATACTGTATAATCATTTTTGCAACTCTGTGTGAGTGATAATTGTTAGTTGGGCGTTTACACCCTGTATATCAAAAAAGGTAAATTAGTTCTAGTTTCCCGTAATCTTGATGTGTATTCCAAAAAATTGTGTATGACACTATAATTCTTCCCCATTTTTTATATTGTTCAACCATCTTATTTACAGCAATTAAAAAAATTTTCCTTTTGCTGACAGCAATTAAAAAAATTTTTCATTTGCTTACAGCAATCAAAATTACAAATTTTACAAAATAAAGCTATGAGGATAATTTTAAATAAAAACAAATATGCTAGGATTAAGTCTATTTTAGAAGAACTACAGCAGTTGAATGTAAAAAATTCCATATGTTATTTAGTTCTCATTTTCATATTCAAATTAAAAAATAATTTATTACCACCACATTTAAAATACTTCACAAAATTAAATAGTCATTTCATAACTACGAAACTAGAGGCAGTATAGATTTTCAAGCTTCAAAATTGTACTTGTAGCATAACTAGCAAATCTGTATTTCAAGAGGGAGTAGGTGAAATTAAAAAATCACTTTATGAATACTCAAAATGCATGGTGATGTAATTTTAATAGAGAAGAATGTAAAATTACAGAACATAGATTCAAAAAAATGTGTAAACGAATAATTATACAAAATTGACATTCTAAATTTAATGCTAAATAAATCTTAAAACAAAAGTTCCAACTTTCAGAATACCCTGTGACTATATTCTGATCAATGCGATCATTATGATGTATTTTACGCGATATATTTTTTTGAAGTTCATCAAATAATATCCGCATGATTTTTTATTACGTGATCATCAAATGCCGATTTGCAATCAAATGTCACATTACAGCATTCGTAGATATCACAACTCGACGTATTGCAACGATCCAGAGATTTTTACAATTTGCTCACAGAAGCGGGATGCTTCGCTGAAGTGTGGTTGTCTAAGTATCCTTTTCTTGCAAGTGACGCATCACATTTCATCATATGCTTAGCTAAATACTGCGCTCTTATAGTTTTATAATTACAATGTGTACATTTATGTATCTTACTAGATACAGAAGCAGTAAGCTGAGGATGTTTCTGTAAAATATGATAGTCTAATGAGGGTTTGTTCGTAAATGACGCATTACACTTTGTACAGTTGCGCTTAGCTCCAGTGTGTTTCATCGTATGTATGATAAATTGCGGCTTATGTAGAGATTTATATTCGCAATGTGTACATTTATGTATCTTACGAGATACAGAAGAAGTAAACTCTGGATGTTTCTGCAAAATGTGGTTATCTAACGAATGTTTCCCCATAAATGAGGCATCACACTTTGTACACGACAACTTAGCTCTAGTATGTTTCATCGTATGACTAGATAAACTCCTCGCGTATATAGTTTTATAGTCACAATGTATACATTCATGTACCTTACTAAATACAGAAGCAGTAAACTTAGGATGTTTGTGCAGAATGTGATTATCTAAAGATTTTCGGCTTGTAAATGACGCATCGCACTTTGTACACGCCAGCTTAGCTCCAGTATGTTTCATTATATGCTCAGCTAAATACTGCGCTTTTGAAGTTTTATATTCACAATGTGTACATTCGTGTATCTTATGAGATATAGAAGCACTTAACTCTGGATGCTTCCGTAAAATGTGGTTGTGTAGTGATATTTTCTGTATAAATGACGCATCACACTTTCTACACGTGAGCTTAGCTCCTGTATGTTTCGTCATATGACTAGCAAAGTGGTGTGAGATCATGGTTTTATATTCACAATGTGCACATTCGTGTATTTTATGAGATGCAGAAGCACTCAACTCTGGATGCTTCCGTAAAATGTGGTTATGTAGTGATATTTTCTTTATAAATGACGCCTCACACTTTGTACACGTCAGCTTAGTTCCAGTATGCTTCATCATATGACTCGCAAGGTGCTGTGAGTGCGTGGTTTTATATTCACAATGTTTACATTCATGTATCTTACTGAATACAGAAGCAGTAAACTTAGGATGTTTTTGCAGAATGTGGTTATCTAAAGATTGTTGGCTTGTAAATGACGCATCACACTTTGTACACGTCAGCTTAGCTCCAGAATGTTTCATTATATGCCCAGCTAAATATTGCGCATTTGTAGTTTTATATCCACAATGTGTACATTCGTGTTTTTTATGAGATACAGAAGCACTCAACTCTGGATGCTTCGATAAAGTGTGGTTGTGTAGTGATATTTTATTTATAAATGCCGCATCACACGTTGTACACGTCAGCTTAGCTCTAGTATGTTTCATCATATGCTTAACTAAATTCCCCTTATATGTAGTTTTATATTCACAATGTGTACATTCGTATATCTTACTAGAAATTGTCTCAATAAAGTTTGGATGTATTTTTAAAATATGGTCAAACAGCGATTGCCTTGATTTAAATGACGTATCACAATGTTTGCATATAATCAGTTTAGTAGTATGTCTTAGCATATGCCTGCGTAAATAATTTTTATAATCGGTATTAAAATCACAGAATGTGCATTCATATATTTTAGATGAAACTGACTCAATATATCTTACATGATTTTTAAGCAAATGTTTGTTTAGTGATGTTTTGCTTTTGTACACCTCATTACATTTGATACAACAATGCTGATACTGTTGTTTTGATACAGATCGTGATTTCCTCAAAATAGATACTAAATAACAATTGTTCCTTTCGATATGGCAGATCAAACCCTTTTTACAATGGCTCGTATAATTACAAATATGGCAGCTGAACGACTTTTTTCCTTCTTCGATCGGTGAATTTCCCAGTTCCTTTTCCCGCTTTTTCTTTATTTGTGCGCTGAAAAAAAGTCTCATTATAGTTTACGTTTTTTCATTGATAAAGAGGATCGATTCACAGTTCCGTATCGCGCGACAGAGCCCGAAGTTTGCATTAAACGTTATTAATATAAATAATATTATTTTGATCGATCCTTTTAGGCAGGTGACATATATCATAATATTTATAACTTGATTTGTATCCGGTATGTTCAATAATTTTATTTATTTTATTAGAATTAAAAATTTTCTAAACGTCGTAAAATTGTCCCTGTATCGATTTTTTCCCGCTGTGTTGATAGTAGCTAAAAGTAATGTGCCAAAAATAAAGCTTTCAGCTTCGCGATATACTGGATGCATAATTAAAAATAACTGGAAAATGGCCAAAATGTCGAGAGTGCTCAAAAGAGATGCCGGGTATACCATCACGAATGGAAAAAACATATTAACAACACCAAAAAATACAATTTTCATCCCCTCCAAACAATGTCTCAACATGAGCAGGAATCTCTAAAACATTGTAACTCAATATTCCAGCGAATTTATTTCCGTCGCTTCCGAATCAATTTTCAAAATGTATGACTACCCAAACGATGGAACTCGCGAAAATATTCGAACTTTGGTCCACAAGTTTTCTGTTGCATAAGTACTGAGTCAATCTACTTGACGATATATTCAGAGAACCATTATAGACGGAGTAACACAAATTAATTAAAAGTTAGACGGAATGTGTGGTACATTTAAGGATCATAAAATTCAGATAAATACATGTGTAGATATAAAAGTCATCATTTACAAAGCGCTAAAGCGATACGTTCACCAACTATCCAAATATGGCTAAGATATATACATATTTCTTATGTAGCGGTATGTCAGTGACGACACCACAGCAGACCAGTTTGAGTTTGTTACCGATTGCACAATTGACAGTGGTCTCCAAGATGATGCCGACGATACCGGGATCAGAAGCTTCTGAATCATAGAACATCTGACTAATACTAAAGACGTTACATTTACAACCGCCTACATGTCATATAACCTCCAAAAAATATATCGTAATTTTGAAATATACCGCAGTTTTGACATAGGAAGTAAAACTGGGTTTTCGTTATAATAAGTTAAATGAATAACGAGTATTTTCCTTCAAATTTTTTTTTACGTTTTTGTTGTTTCCGGTTTACCAGGCATTACTTTGTTATTGTTGTTTTAACCGTAGTTATTTCTGAAAGGGAAAAGTCCAACTTCCTGGACACCACATATTCGCCGTGTAGATATAACTATATTCTAATAAATGTTCATCGAATAATATTTCCATTATTTTTTCATTACGTGATCATCGAATGTCGATTTACAATCAAATGTAGTGTTGCCAGAGCCAACATTGAAAATTCCGCTATTGGTATCGAAAAACTCCGCTGCTCTCCGCTACCCCGAGGATTATCGTCGAGGGGCGGGGCACTATCATAAAACAGGGGGAGGCGTTTATTATACAGATTGTGTCAAAAAAAGGAAAACAAAAACAGATTGATAAAATATAACATCAAACTGTAATAAAAAACACGATTGACTATAAAAACCAATACAATATTACAAATAACTGTCAAACAACAGGACATTTAAAAAAATATCAAAGGAAACTAAAAAATGAAATCATATGACTAAAGGCCATTTCCGTTTTGCATAAAAAAATTGAAGTTTTTGAGTTACTTAAACTTAGTCACCGTCTGTATCAGATTTTTCTTGTTGCATTTCTGTTCTTCATACTATATAAATTTTTGTATTTTTTTAAATTATGTTCACCAAACTCGAAGTCTAAGCAGCAACATTTTTTTTATTGTATCCAAAATACGATTCCTTTTCTTTGTTTTGATTATCTCCATATATAAGAATGTCCACTCGACATCTGCATTACCATGTGGCAAATATTAAAATTATTAGACATACATTGGAAATACACTTCACAAGTTGTGTTCTACCACCATCTACACGCATCTCCGTTGAATAAGAATTACCGACCAATGGTTGGTTGCCACTGTCGATTGGAAAGATACCTGTATTTAGATTTGGTTACTAACTGCACTCATTTTTTTTCTGGTAAAAATATCCATCATGTGTACCTAAATTGCAAAATTCCGCTACTTTTAACAAACATCCAATTCCGCCGCTACCACTTGAAAATTTCGCTACTTCTGGCAACACTGATCAAATGTCACATTACTCATTGAAATTGGTACGATCCAGTTTGGCGCTGTTGCCAAACCTCGTCAAATGTCATCTACAACAGATTTTTTCAATTTGCTGTCAGTGCACGTGATACTCTTATTCTTTCATATAGTACTAATGTACTGATCGATTTGATATGAACATCTGAAAGATAGTATTGATAATTCGAGAGTGTACTTAGAACGTCGCCGTCGTCATTGATGTTTCTGTTCATCAGAGCTGCATGTTTGTTTTCATCGTGCAGTTGACCTGCTAGACAGCCCCAAATGTTGCAAATTTAGGAAGACGTAAACAAACTCGTGTTTTTGAATCGAACAGCGACATCTTCAAGCAGTATTTATAAACAAAACATGTAATCGGGCAGTACTTGAAAATCTTTAACAAGTGAGTAGCGAATATTTTTCTTCAATTTCTTTTTTACGTTTTCGCTGCTGTTTTACCGCTCATTATTTCAAACGCAGTTAATCCTTAAAATTGTAATCTAATAAAAATCCAATTGAGAATCTCTCAAAAAAGATTCTAAATGATCGTTTCAGTATAACTGGAGAGAAATTATTATTATTATTATTGTTGAATCATTGTTTAGGACATCGTGAACTCGCATCAAAATTAAAGTGTTTCACCAACTCCTGTGCGAAAAGTTCAACATGGTGAGCTGTATACAAATATGCGATCGATTAATGTATTGCCAGATGTCGCGAAGTTGTTCGAAGGGATAATATACGAACAAATCACTGAATTCTTTGAAGAAAACAAAATTTTGATAAAAAATCAAACCGGATTGAAAAAATACTCTACAGAAACAGCAATCTAAATGGTGGTGGAAGATTGGATATATTGGATAAGTATATATGAGAAAGAATGTGTTGAAACAGAATTTTCAGACTTCAAAATTGCATTTGAGGATACAGATAGGGAAACACTGTTAATGAAATTGCATCACTAAGGTTTCAGTATTAGTCGTTTTACAAAATTATTTAGTGCATAGAAGAGAAATAAAACTACACTTGGAAATATTGCCGGCGTTCGAAATATATCAGTAGGGGTGCCACTGGGGAGCAAATTAGGGCCGTTACTATTTATTATTTATATAAATGATATCTCCGACATTTTAGAATACTGCAAAATTCAAATACCTGTGGACGATATATATATATATATATATATATATATATATATATATATATATATATATATATATATATATAGTATTCATAGTTAATTGCGTGAACTGTTAGGAGAATATCCTTTAATTTCTTTTTCAAAGTATTGCAAAAGTACACTCTTATAACTTAAACCCTAGCTTTCTAAGATCTATGTCTTCATCGTCAGGAGCTGGAAACGATTATTAATCATAGCAACAAATAACAATTAGGAGGAAAAATAGCTACTTACTAAGTCGGCGAGATTGTTGCTGAAATTGTTTTTGAGCAACAGTGAAGGGAACACATAGTCGACGAATAAAAAACTAGACTGATGAGGTTCGATTAGGACGGAATTATTTTATTGAAATGAAAACATTTTTTCAAAATTACAAATTCTGCAAAATAAAGCTATGAGGATTAAGTCTATTTTAGAAGAACTACAGTGGTTGAATGTAAAGAATTCCATATGTTACTTAGTTTTCATTTCATATTCAAATTAAAAAATCATTTATTACCACTACATTTAAAAAAATTCACAAAATTAAATAGTCATTTCATAACTACGAAACTAGAGGCAGTATAGATTTTCATCTGCAAAATTGTACTTGTAGCATAACTAGCAAATCTGTATTTCAAGAGGGAGTATTTGAATATAATAAATTGAATAATCATATTAAACAGTGTTGGAATTTAAAAACGTTTAAGGTGAAATTAAAAAATCACTTTATGAATACCTACTCAAAATGCATTGTGATGTGATTTTAATAGAGAAGAATGTAAAATTACAGAAAATGGTTTACAAAAATGTATAAACGAATAATTATACAAAATTGACATTGTAACTTTAATGCTAAACAAATCTTAAAAAATAAGTTCCAACTTTCAGAATACCCTGTGACTATATGCGTTACATTATGATGTATTTTACGTAATATATTTTTTTGTAGTTCATCGCACAATATCCGCATGATTTTTAATTACGTGATCATCAAATGTCGATTTGCAATCAAATGTCACATTACAGCATTCGTAGATATCACAACTCGACGTATTGAAACGATCGAGAGATTTTTTCAATTTGTTCACAGAAGCGGTAAGCTGGGGATGCTTCTCTGAAGTGTGGTTGTCTATGTATTCTTTTCTTGGAAATGACGCATCACATTTCATCATATGCTTAGTCAAATTCTTCTTAAGTGTAGTTTTATATTCACAATGTGTACATTTATGTATCTTACTAGATACAGAAGCAGTAAGCTGAGGATGTTTCTGTACAATATGGTTGTGTAACGATCGTTTGGTTGTAAATGTCGCATCACACTTTGTACAGTTGTGCTTAGCTCCAGTGTGTTTCATCGTATGTATGATAAATTGCGGCTTATGTAGAGATTTATATTCGCAATGTGTACATTTATGTATCTTACGAGATACAGAAGAAGTAAACTCTGGATGTTTCTGCAAAATGTGGTTATCTAACGAAAGTTTCCTAATAAATGACGCATCACACTTTGTACACGTCAGCTTAACTCCAGTATGTTTCAGTATATGCTCAGCTAAATACTGCGCTTTTGTAGTTTTATATTCACAATGTGTACATTCGTATATCTTATGAGATACAGAAGCACTTAACTCTGGATGCTTCCGTAAAATGTGGTCGTGTAGTGATATTTTCATTATAAATGACGCATAACACTTTGTACACGTCACCTTAGTTCCAGTGTGCTTCATCATATGACTAGCAAGGTGGTGCGAGTGCGCGGTTTTATATTCACAATGTGTACATTCGTGTATCTTATGAGATACAGAAGCACTTAACTCTGGATGCTTCCGTAAAATGTGGTTGTGTAGTGATATTTTCTTTATAAATGACGCATCACACTTTGTACACGTCAGCCTAACTCCAGTATGTTTCCTTATATGCTCAGCTAAATACTGCGCTTTTGTAGTTTTATATTCACAATGTGTACATTTATGTATCTTATCAGATACAGAAGCACTTAACTCTGGATGCTTCTGTAAAATGTGGTTGTCTAACGATCGTTCCTCTGTAAATGACGCATCACACTTTGTACACGTGCACTTAGCTCCAGTATGTTTCAACATATGCCTAACTAAATGCTCCTTATATGCAGTTTTATATTCACAATGTGTACATTCACGTATTTTACTAGACTCGGATACGGCAAATTTGGGATGTTTCTGTAAAATGTGATTTTCTAATCGTAGTTTAGTATTAAACGAAGCGTCACAGTTTATATACTTGAAAGTCGTTTGACTATTATGTTTTGCCATGTGCCTTATAAAATTACTCCTACGGGTTCCTTTGTGTGCACAATGCATACATTCATATATCTTATTAGAAATTGTCCCAATAAAGTTTGGATGTATTCTTAAAATATGGTCAAACAGTGATTGTTTTGTTTTAAATGACGTATTACAATGTTTGCATATGATCAGTTTAGTAGTATGTCTTAGCATATGCCTGGGTAAATGCTTTTTATAAGCGGTTTTAAAATCACAGAATGTGCATTTATGTATTTTAGATGAAACTGACGCAATAGATCCTGCATGATTTTTAACCAAATGGTTATCTAGTGATGCTTTGTTTTTGAACACCTTATTACATTTGATACAACAATACTGATACTGTTTTTTTGATACAGATCGTGATTTCCTCAAAATAGATACTAAATAACAATTGTTCCTTTTGATATGGCAGATCAAACCCTTTTTACAATGGCTCGTATAATTACAAATATGGCAGCTGAACGACTTTTTTCCTTCTTCGATCGGTGAATTTCCCAGTTCCTTTTCCCGCTTTTTCTTTATTTGTGCGCTGAAAAAAAGTCTCATTATAGTTTACGTTTTTTCATTGATAAAGAGGATCGATTCACAGTGCCGTATTACGCGACAGAGCCCGAAGTTTGCATTAAACGTTATTAATATAAATAATATTATTTTAATCGATCCTTTTAGGCAGGTGACATATATCATAATATTTACAACTTGATTTGTATCCGGTATGTTCAATAATTTTATTTATTTTATCAGAATTAAAAATTTTCTAAACGTCGTAAAATTGTCCCTGTATCGATTTTTTCCCGCTGTGTTGACTGTTGAGCTGATAGTAGCTAAAAGTAATGTGCCAAAAATAAAGCTTTCAGCTTCGCGATATACTGGATGCATAATTAAAAATAACTGGAAAATGGCCAAAATGTCGAGAGTGCTCAAAAGAGATGCCGGGTATACCATCACGAATGGAAAAAACATATTAACAACACCAAAAAATACAATTTTCATCCCCTCCAAACAATGTCTCAACATGAGCAGGAATCTCTAAAACATTGTAACTCAATATTCCAGCGAATTTATTTCCGTCGCTTCCGAATCAATTTTCAAAATGTATGACTACCCAAACGATGGAACTCGCGAAAATATTCGAACTTTGGTCCACAAGTTTTCTGTTGCATAAGTACTGAGTCAATCTACTTGACGATATATTCAGAGAACCATTATAGACGGAGTAACACAAATTAATTAAAAGTTAGACGGAATATGTGGTACATTTAAGGATCATAAAATTCAGATAAATACATGTGTAGATATAAAAGTCATCATTTACAAAGCGCTAAAGCGATACGTTCACCAAATATCCAAATATGGCTAAGATATATACATATTTCTCATGTAGCGGTATGTCAGTGACGACACCACCGCAGACCAGTTTGAGTTTGTTACCGATTGCACAATTGACAGTGGTCTCCAAGATGATGTTGACGATACCGGGATCAGAAGCTTCTGAATCATAGAACATCTGACTAATACTAATGACGTTACATTTACAACCGCCTACATGTCATATAACCTCCAAAAAATATATCGTAATTTTGATATATACCGCAGTTTTGACATAGGAAGTAAAACTGGGTTTTCGTTACAATAAGATAAATGAATAACGAGTATTTTCCTTCAAATTTTTTTTTTACTTTTTTGTTGTTTCCGGTTTACCAGGCATTACTTTGTTATTGTTGTTTTAACCGTAGTTATTTCTGAAAGGGAAAAGTCCAACTTCCTGGACACCACATATTCGCCGTGTAGATATAACTATATTCTAATAAATGTTCATCGAATAATATTTCCATTATTTTTTCATTACGTGATCATCGAATGTCGATTTACAATCAAATGTAGTGTTGCCAGAGCCAACATTGAAAATTCCGCTATTGGTATCGAAAAACTCCGCTGCTCTCCGCTACCCCGAGGATTATCGTCGAGGGGCGGGGCACTATCATAAAACAGGGGGAGGCGTTTATTATACAGATTGTGTCAAAAAAAGGAAAACAAAAACAGACTGATAAAATATAACATCAAACTGTAATAAAAAACACGTTTGACTATAAAAACCAATACAATATTACAAATAACTGTCAAACAACAGGACATTTAAAAAATATCAAAGGAAACTAAAAAATGAAATCATATGACTAAAGGCCATTTCCGTTTTGCATAAAAAATTGAAGTTTTTGAGTTACTTAAACTTAGTCACTGTCTGTATCAGATTTTTCTTGTTGCATTTCTGTTCTTTATACTATATAAATTTTTGTATTTTTTTAAATTATGTTCACCAAACTCGAAGTCTAAGCAGCAACATTTTTTTTATTGTATCCAAAATACGATTCCTTTTCTTTGTTTTGATTATCTCCATATATAAGAATGTCCACTCGACATCTGCATTACCATGTGGCAAATGTTAAAATTATTAGACATACTTTGGAAATACACTTCACAAGTTGTGTTCTACCACCATCTACACGCATCTCCGTTGAATAAGAATTACCGACCAATGGTTGGTTGCCACTGTCGATTGGAAAGATACCTGTATTTAGATTTGGTTACTAACTACACTCATTTTTTTTCTGGTAAAAATATCCATCATGTGTACCTAAATTGCAAAATTCCGCTACTTTTAACAAACATCCAATTCCGCCGCTACCACTTGAAAATTTCGCTACTTCTGGCAACACTGATCAAATGTCACATTACTCATTGAAATTGGTACGATCCAGTTTGGCGCTGTTGCCAAACCTCATCAAATGTCATCTACAACAGATTTTTTCAATTTGCTGTCAGTGCACGTAATAATCTTATTCTTTCATATAGTACTAATGTACTGATCGATTTGATATGAACATCTGAAAGATCCTATTGATAATTCGAAAGTGTACTTAGAACGTCGCCGTCGTCATTGATGTTTCTGTTCATCAGAGCTGCATGTTTGTTTTCATCGTGCAGTTGAAGACCTGCTAGACAGCCCCAAATGTTGCAAATTTAGGAAGACGTAAACAAACTCGTGTTTTTGAATCGAACAGCGACATCTTCAAGCAGTATTTATAAACAAAACATGTAATCGGGCAGTACTTGAAAATCCTTAACAAGTGAGTAGCGAATATTTTTCTTCAATTTCTTTTTCACGTTTTCGCTGCTGTTTTACCGCACATTATTTCAAACGCAATTAATCCTTAAAATTGAAATCTAATAAAAATCCAAGTGTGAATCTCTCAAAAAAGATTCTAATGATCGTTTCAATATAACTGGAGAGAAATTATTATTAATATTATTGTTGAATCATTGTTTAGGACATGGTGAACTCCCATCAAAATTAAAGTGTTTCACCAACTCCTGTGCGAAAAGTTCAACATGTATACAAATATGCGATCGATTAATGTATTGCCAGATGTCGAGAAGTTGTTCGAAGAGATAATATACGAACAAATCACTGAATTCTTTGAAAACAAAATTTTGATAAAAAATCGAACCGGATTAAAAAAACACTCTACAGAAACAGCAATCTAAATGGTGGTGGAAGATTGGAGAAGTATATATGAGAAAGAATGTGTTGAAACAGTATTTTTAGACTTCAAAATTGCATTTGAGGATACAGATAGGGAAACACTGTTAATGAAATAGCATCACTATGGTTTCAGTATTAGTCTTTTTACAAAATTATTTAGTGCATAGAAGAGAAATAAAACTACAGTTGGAAATATTGCCGGCGTTCGAAATATATCAGTAGGGGTGCCACTGGGGAGCAAATTAGGGCCGTTACTATTTATTATTTATATAAATGATATCTCCGACATTTTAGAATACTGCAAAATTCAAATACCTGTGGACGATACATATATATATATATATATATATATATATATATATATATATATATAATATATATAACTTGAGACGTGGTCATTGTCGTCTAGACCAGTTATGTGAAAAATTAAAGCTTCCGCCTTTTGTTGGGTACTTCGACAAAATTTAAGCAAAGATGACTCTTTATACTTTTTTATTTTTTTAATTCTCTCTAGCTTTCAATGGACTTTGCCATCATCATCAGGAGAGTAGTATGTGAGGATGTTGCTAATTGTTGTTTACGTATAGGATGAGGGAAACGTCCAGTAACATGGTGAGAGCTGGATACATGGTACAATGGTCAAAATTAGATAAAATATGACAAGTTAAAAACAGATTAAAAATTATTTAAAAAACATTAGAGCATTACGTCGTGCAATCATCAAGTGGCTTCACGACGTAATGCTCTAATGTTTTTTAAATAATTTTTAATCTGTTTTTAACTTGTCTTGTCATATTTTATATAATTTTGACCATTGTACCATGTATCCAGCTCTCACCATGTTACTGGTCGTTTCCCTCATCCTATACGTAAAGAACAATTAGCAACATCCTCACATACTACTCTCCTGATGATGACGGCAAAGTCCATTGAAAGCTAGAGAGAATTAAAAAAAAGTATAAAGAGTCCTCTTTGCTTAAATTTTGTCGAAGTACCCAACAAAAGGCGGAAGCTTTAATTTTTCACCTATAATATATATATATATATATATATATATATATATATATATATATATATATATATATATAGTATTCATAGTTAATTGCGTGAACTGTTAGGAGAATATCCTTTAATTTCTTTGGCAAAGTATTGCAAAAGTACACTCTTATAACTTAAGCCCTAGCTTTCTAAGATCTATGTCTTCATCGTCTGGAGCTGGAAACGATTATTAACCATAGCAACAAATAACAATTAGGAGGAAAAATAGTTACTTACTAAGTCGTCGAGATTGTTGCTGAAATTGTTTTTGAGCAACAGTGAAGGGAACACATAGTCGACGAATAAAAAACTAGACTGATGAGGTTCGATTAGGACGGAATTATTTATTGAAATGAAAACATTTTTTCAAAATTACAAATTCTGCAAAATAAAGCTATGAGGATTAAGTCTATTTTAGAAGAAAATCATTTATTACCACCACATTTAAAAAAATTCACAAAATTAAATAGTCATTTCATAACTACGAAACTAGAGGCAGTATAGATTTTCATCTGCAAAATTGTAGTTGTAGCATAACTAGCAAATCTGTATTTCAAGAGGGAGTATTTGAATATAATAAATTGAATAATCATATTAAACAGTGTTGGAATTTAAAAACGTTTAAGGTGAAATTAAAAAATCACTTTATGAATACCTACTCAAAATGCATTGTGATGTGATTTTAATAGAGAAGAATGTAAAATTACAGAAAATGGTTTACAAAAATGTATAAACGAATAATTATACAAAATTGACATTGTAACTTTAATGCTAAACAAATCTTAAAAAATAAGTTCCAACTTTCAGAATACCCTGTGACTATATGCGTTACATTATGATGTATTTTACGTAATATATTTTTTTGTAGTTCATTGCATAATATCCGCATGATTTTTAATTACGTGATCATCAAATGTCGATTTGCAATCAAATGTCACATTACAGCATTCGTAGATATCACAACTCGACGTATTGAAACGATCGAGAGATTTTTTCAATTTGTTCACAGAAGCGGTAAGCTGGGGATGCTTCTCTGAAGTGTGGTTGTCTATGTATTCTTTTCTTGGAAATGACGCATCACATTTCATCATATGCTTAGTCAAATTCTTCTTAAGTGTAGTTTTATATTCACAATGTGTACATTTATGTATCTTACTAGATACAGAAGCAGTAAGCTGAGGATGTTTCTGTACAATGTGGTTGTCTAACGATAATTTGGTTGTAAATGACGCATCACACTTTGTACAGTTGCGCTTAGCTCCAGTGTGTTTCATCATATGTATACGAAAATGCATCCCCAATGTCGTTTTATATTCACAATGTATGCATTCATGAATCTTGCTAGTTACAGAAGCAATCAATTCCGGATGCTTCTTTAAAATGTGGTTGTCTAGGGATTGTTTATTTGTAGATGACGCATCGCACATTGTACATGTGAGCCTAGCTCCAGTATGTTTCATCATATGTATGATAAATTGCGACTTTTGTAGAGATTTATAGCCGCAATATGTACATGTATGTATCTTACGAGATACAGAAGTAGTACACTCTGGATGTTTCTGCAAAATGTGGTTATCTAACGAATGTTTCGTAATAAATGAGACATCACACTTTGTACACAGGAATTTAGCTCCAGTATGTTTCATCATATGACGAGATAGACTGCTCGCGTATGTAGTTTTATATTCACAATGTATACATTCATGTATCTTATCAGGTACAGAAGCACTCAACTCTGGATGCTTCTGTAAAATGTGGTTGTATAGTGATATTTTCTTTATAAATGACGCATCACACTTTGTACACGTCAGCTTAGCTCCAGTATGCTTCATCATATGAGTAGCAAGCTCGCGTAAGTACGTAGTTTTATATTCACAATGTGTACATTCATGTATCTTCCTAAATACAGAAGCAGCAAACTTCTGATGTTCTCGCAGAATGTGATTATCTAAAGACTGTTGGCTTGTAAATGAGGCATCACAGTTTGTACACGTCAGCTTAGCTCCAGTATGTTTCATTATATGCCTAGCTAAATACCGCGCTTTTGTAGTTTTATATTCACAATGTGTACATTGATGTATCTTATGAGATACAGAAGCACTTAACTCTGGATGCTTCCGTAAAATGTGGTTGTATAGTAATATTTTATTTATAAATGACGCATTACACTTTGAACACGTGCGCTTAGTTCCAGTATGCTTCATCATATGACTAGCAAACGCGTGTGTGTGCGTGGTTTTATATTCACAATGTGTACATTCATGTATCTTCTTAGTAGATACAGAAGCAGTATGCTTCTGATGTTTCCGCAGAATGTGATTATCTAAAGATTGTTGGCTTGTAAATGACGCTTCACACTTTGTACACGTCAGCTTAGCTCCAGTATGTTTCATGATATGCCCAGCCAAACTCTTCCTGTCTGTAGTTTTATATTCACAATGTGTACATTCATGTATCTTATGAGATACAGAAGCACTCAACTCTGGATGCTTCTGTAAAATGTGGTTGTCTAACGATCGTTTCTCTGTAAATGACGCATCACACTTTGTACACGTGCACTTAGCTCCAGTATGTTTCAACATATGCCTAACTAAATGCTCCTTATATGCAGTTTTATATTCACAATTTGTACATTCAAGTATTTTATTAGACTCGGATGCGCCAAATTTGGGATGTTTCTGCGAAATGTGATTTTCTAATCGTAGTTTAGTATTAAACGAAGCGTCACAGTTTATACACTTGAAAGTCGTTTGATTATTATGTTTTGCCATGTGCCTTATAAAATTACTCCTACGGATTCCTTTGTGTGCACAATGCATACATTCATATATCTTATTAGAAATTGACCCGATAAAGTTTGGATGTATTCTTAAAATATGGTCAAACAGCGATTGCGTTGATTTAAATGACGTATTACAATGTTTGCATACGAACAGTTTAATAGTATGTCTTAGCATATGACTGGGTAAATGCTTTTTATAAGCTGTTTTAAAATCACAGAATGTGCATTCATGTATTTTAGATGAAACTGACTCAATATATCTTACATGATTGTTAACCAAATGTTTGTTTAGTGATGTTTTGCTTTTGAACACCTCATTACATTTGATACAACAATACTGATACTGTTTTTTGGATACAGATCGTGATTTTCCCAAACTAGATCCTAAATAACAATTGTCCCTTTTGATATGGCAGATCAAACCCTTTTCACAATGGCTCGTATAGTTACAAATATGGCGGCTGAACGACTTTTTTCCTTCTTCGATCGGTGAATTTCCCAGTTCCTTTTTCCGATTTTTCTTTATTTGTGCGCTGAAAAAAAGTTTCATTATAGTTTACTTTTTTGCCATTGATAAAGGGGATCGATTCAGAGTTCCGTATGACTATATGCCGATGAACGTGACCATTATCAGTATTTTACGCGATGTTTTTCAACGACTTCATAAGGTTAGACTACGCGTTCTAGGGGAATTGTTTGTAGCCGCCAAAAATTAAACAAACAAGCCCTCACTGTATGTATACATATCTGCTATTGATAGTTAGGTAATTTTAGATACCTGATTTGAGGCTATTTTAGTTTGGGATTGCCTCTGTATGATGCAAAACACTTTATAATGGAATTTGATCACTCTCAATCATAATATTCCCGTATGTAATAGCTGTCCATACATAATTAATGCGTATTTCTCTGACTGTATCTCGTTTCAGTATCGCATCGATTTTTTTTGCTTAAACTGACTGGACTATGAAGCGTCTGACTCTATCAGCCCCATGTTTATTTGTTGACTGTGAACTCTTTGTTCCGTTGTGTTAAAGCAGCTAATATACAGTGAGTCGTGAGTGAAAAATTGGTAGAAATAGACAATAATTAAAGACAAGTGTGTGTAGTTTGTGGCAGACCATACTGGAAGTAATCCAACGTGAGTTTTCGTGTGTAAGTAATTAACGCATTTATAACCTCAAAATGCATGGTCGTCCCAACGACATCATATGAAGTCGTTGGGTTGTCCTTAGTCCTAGGTTTCTTAATAGCTTGATAAGAATAATTTCACTTGGAATATTTTGAATAATGATAATGGCTTAACGCATGGTTATGTATTTCTAGTTTTCCAACTCGTTCGTCGTGCTGCCAGTTACTGAAATGGATTTGGTTGGCTCAGATCATTGTGAGGATCAGAACCCGGATGTCGATATCAGTACAATAGGATGTCTGAACCTGCAGAGATCATCATTGAATATGAGCACACCTTCACAAGTACCGATGCCAAAATTGGACATTCTACTCCTAAGCGGAAAAGGTTATGAATTGTTTATACATTAGAGTACCTATGTTTTGGAAAATCATTTTCAGATGGCAGGAGCTGAATCTTCGTTTCTTCAGTTTTTAGCTAACACTCATTTGTAGTGCTTGGTTCACTAACAGTAATTTGTTTTTTTCTTGCAGGAATGAATCTATGAGTGCTGCAGTTAGAGATGGAGGGCTGAAGAGACTGACAAGTCCTCAATCAGACAACTGTGATGTCTTGTCAATATCTTCAACTACAGTGACAGCATCTGAATGCAATATAAGGTATTGCTGTTATTCATTCAAGTTCTGATGCACATTAAAGACCTTATATGTTGAATTCCAGCTACTTTGATAGTTCCCAGGTCATTGAATGAATGACAAAATTGTATTGTTAATAGTTTTGTTTCCATTTTACTGCTTTGTTGACCAAACAACACTATTCATGAGAAGTTAAAGCTTTATTTTATTCTTAACGAATTCCAGCTATACTGTTGTACTTAATTGAATTGATTATTTTGGCAACAAAATCCAATTCTTGGTCAATAACATGTTGTTTGCTTTCTACTGTCCCTAGTGACTAAATAATACTATTCATCAGTCGAATGGATTAGTTTACTGCAACTGTATACATTCATTTTGACATATATTTTTGTTTATAGTAACAACTCTGACACTGTTTCGGCAAGAAATGATAGTTCAATTACTCTGTCGGCCAGCTCATTGTCAGCAACAGTTACTGCAAGCTCTGATGATGAACCTAGAGAACTACCAAGCATCTCGGGGAAAATGACTAGGCATAGGCAAATAATGCAGCAAAGGTGAGTTCAAGTTTTCAAAATTGATAATGATGAGCACACAAAGTAATATCTATTATTTCAGATCCAAAATGCATAAGCATGTATGGAACATTTCTGGCAAAACTGTAGGTAGCGCAGAAAAAACAATAGCGTCTCTGAAAAAGAAAATTAAAAATCTTCAGCAGCAAAATCGCAGACTGAAGTCTAAAGTATATTCCCAGCAATCATTAATGGAGTATTTGAGGGAGACATGTGGTTTGACGCCAAATGCAGGACTAGTTTTGAATGTAGGTATCAGTTGCATGCTGCTACACACTTCAATTAGCCTAGAACTTATTGTTTCCATTTTAGTTTAACATGTTTACAATACTGAAAAAGATTTATGTTTTTTTTTTTGGTTTTATGCAAAGTTTCAATAATATTCTACTTTGTAACATGATTATTCCATGAATATATATTTGTTTTCAGGCATCAGTGGATGATGGCACAAAGGAAATTCTGAAACGATTTATCAAGGGGAAGTCAAAACAAAAATATAATGCTTCTCTCAGAGCTTTTGCATTAACTTTGCATTTTTATAGCTCAAAAGCTTACGATTTTGTGAGAGAGCAATTCAATAAAAGTCTACCACACCCCCATACTCTAATAAAATGGTACCAACGGATAAATGGTGCACCTGGCTTCAGCATGGAGGCAAAAAACAACTTACTGTGTAAAGTACAAACGGAACAGAAGCATGGCCGTAAAGTTTTGTGCAATCTGGTCATGGATTCAATGGCAATTAGGCGGCGAATAGAATGGAATGGCCAAAAGTGGACAGGATACATTGACTTGGGTTTTGATATGGATGGAGATAAACTTCCTGAGGTTAAAGAAGCATTGGTTATGATGCTAGTGGCTATAAATGGCAAATGGAAGCTACCTGTAGGATACTTCTTCATCAATGGTCTAAGTGGAGAGGAACAGGCAAACTTAGTATCAAATCTTCTTACTTTTATTCACGATACAGGTGTTATCATTTGTTCAGTAACATTTGATGGGGCCTCTCAAAATATTTCGATGATAAAACACTTGGGAGCTGATCTGAAAATTGGAAACTTAAAAACCTGGTTCCCACATCCAGTTGATTCGCACAGGGTGTACGTTTATCTCGATCCATGTCACATGCTAAAATTAATCAGGAACTGCTTAGCAACTTATAAAAATTTCAAGACAGATCACAATGAGTTAGTTTCTTGGGAATACTTTGAAAAGTTGGTAAACATTCAAAACAATGAAGGCTTAAGAGCTGCTACCAAAATTAAAGAGACATGTGAAATGGGAAAATGAAAAAATGAAGGTATGCCTAGCAGCACAAACATTCAGTAAAAGTGTTGCTGATGCATTGAGGTTTCTGGAAACAGATTTAGGTTTGAAAGAATTTGAAGGTGCTTCAGCAACTGCCAACTTTGCTGAAATGATAAATAATATTTTTGACATTTTTAATAGTAATTCGAGATACTCAAAATACGAATTCAAACAAGGCTTAGATGTCAATAATGCTCAGCAGATATTTGTATATTTGGAACAGTGCAAGACATACTTTGAAGGTCTTAAGACAGAAACAACCCCAGTACTTCAATGCAGAAGGAAAACGGGTTTCCTGGGATTTTTGATTTGTATGGCTAGTTTACAGCAATTTTATCTAGAATATGTCATTGAATTCAAATACTTGAATTACATATTGACATACAAGCTGTCCCAAGACCATATTGAGCTATTTTTTAGCGCAGTGCGTAGTAAGGGAGGATGTAATAATAATCCAACTGCTCGATAATTTGAAAGTATTTTCAAGAGATTACTTTTGCATTGTGACATTAAGGGCTCCAAGTATGGAAATGTTGTTTCACTGGACAACACTAGTATTCTAGGCACTACATATATCAACACTTTGACTAAAACTAATTGTGGCAACATTCTTTCAGAGAATGATGATTATATGGAGAATACTACAGAAGTTTTAATATTTGGTAGTTGTTCATTACATCTGTGGCAGCTAACTCCGTATGTCTGTGATATTGTCGCATACATATCTGGCTTTGTGGTGAAAAATTTGAAAAAGTGTGTATCTTGTCATGAATGCCTGCTGCTAATGGAATCCAGTGAAACACGTTCTTTGTTGCAAAAAAGGAAGCAATATGGCAACTTAACACGAGCTTCTAATTATGTTATAAAAGTCTGTGAAGAAGGGGAGAGGTCTGTAAGGTCCTTGAAAGCCATTTCCATCATATTTAGCAATAAACTTGGAAACATCGAAAAATACTTAGTAAGCTATACACTAAGGAAGTTAAATACATCAATATTTGAAGTATTTGGTGACCATGTTCTAGATGATAGCTTTGAAAACAATCATTCACTGCAGCTGACAAAGATGATTTTGGCTAAATACATAAGGCTAAGGTTACACCACGAGTCAAATTTAGCATCAGAATTTGGTAGACGATACAGAAGTGACCTCACAAAAAGCATACTATTCAGAAATCAGTAAAACTTTGATATGATTTTTCTCTACATTTTGTTATTTTCATCTCTGACCTTTCAACCTGTTAGAACGCCTCAGCTGAGTTTACGTGATTCAGATCATTCGAGATGATCAAAATAAATTAAAGAAGTCAATGATTTGTGTTTCTTGTGAGATGAATGGGACTTGAAGCCAACTTTTCTCCCATTCTTTTTTTTGGGGGGGGGGGGGGGGCACCATCACCGATACCTTTTTTCTATGGGACATCATCATCATAAAACCTTCCACTTTGAGGGGCACCAACATTACTTTTTGGTGAGGGGAACCAACATCGCCTTTTTGAGTGCTATGATCATTACACCAACATTGCACTTGTACATGGGGCACAGTCATCACATCATTTCACCACCAGCGCATGGGACCATCCCTGTTTTAAACTCAGATTTGTCCACTCTTTGCGAGAGTAGATCAAAAGATAAATCATTCTTTTCATGTGATTCTTACCTCAATTTTTGCTTATTGTTTGGGGTTTTTTTCTAATATTGTTTGAATTTTACAACCTTGTTTTATTTGTCCTCATGCTGCTATCGTTCTTTACAATTACAACATCAACTCTACCCTGATCTCTCATATCCTACTACTGAGCAACCAAGAGCTATAAGTATGAGCTTACATATGGCATGCTGCCTCATCTTTTTCTTGGGGTATGTGTGAGGTTATAATGTGACTGCGTTCAAGAGTAAATTTTGTCTTTTTATTCTTTTGAAATTTTGTACGCGCCTCTTATACTGTTTAATATAGATTTAATATGTTTGGATAAAGTAGCTACATAGGGGTAAATTATTTATTGTATTGTGTATATCATATTTCTATTAAAGACGTTTTATTATTATTATAATAACTGAATTAAAATATTTCAAACATTTGTTGTTTAATTATCCCATTACCTGTATCCACTGTTACTGTTTTATAAAAATTATAATAAACCTACAGAAACCCAAATCCTCTTAAATACACTGCATCAGAATATGTTCTTTTGGGACTAGCTTGAGATGCTACCAAATATAACTGAATGTACCCAATAATTTAGAGTGACTGCACACTGCCAACTTTTTAGTTTCGGTGGAAACATTGCATTCCTTGCAAGGGAACATTTTATTTTATGGCATGCTGGCTCTAAACTTTGGATATTGTTCATGAACATTGTCTATTTAAACAACTCGTTCTTAGTTGTGAACTCGTTCAAGTCAATATCGGGATAATGATTACATATTGTACAACTTGCAAATTTTTCTCGCTTGAAATCGTGAAAATCCGAAACACGGATATTTTGGGTACATTGAAGTGCAATGAGATTCTGTATGAATGAATTGGTAACCTACTTAAACAAAATATTGATACGCCTATGGAAAATGAATTTCAATCGTCGAACGTTTGTTTACAAAACAGTCTTCACCTGTCCCCTTGCACCCCTGAAGCGGTTACAAACAATGACACGTATACATGCGTAGTCTAACCTTATGAAGTCGTTGATGTTTTTTTCCAGTTCATCGAATAATATCCGCATGATTTTTTATTACGTGGTCATCAAATGTCGATCTGCAATCAAATGTCACATTACAGCATTCGTAGATATCACAACTCGACGTATTGAAACTGCTCACAGAAGCGGTAAGCTGGGGATGCTTCTCTGAAGTGTGGTTGTCTATGTATTCTTTTCTTGGAAATGACGCATCACATTTCATCATATGCTTAGTCAAATTCTTCTTAAGTGTAGTTTTATATTCACAATGTGTACATTTATGTATCTTATGAGATACAGAAGCACTTAACTCTGGATGCTTCTGTAAAATGTGGTTGTCTAACGATCGTTTCTCTGTAAATGACGCATAACACTTTGTACACGTCACCTTAGTTCCAGTATGCTTCATCATATGACTAGCAAACTGGTGCGAGTGCGCGGTTTTATATTCACAATGTGTACATTCGTGTATCTTATGAGATACAGAAGCACTTAACTCTGGATGCTTCCGTAAAATGTGGTCGTGTAGTGATATTTTTTTTATAAATGACGCATCACACTTTGTACACGTCAGCTTAACTCCAGTATGTTTCATTATATGCGGAGCTAAATACTGCGCTTTTGTAGTTTTATATTCACAATGTGTACATTTATGTATCTTATGAGATACAGAAGCACTTAACTCTGGATGCTTCTGTAAAATGTGGTCGTGTAGTGATATTTTCTTTATAAATGACGCATCACACTTTGTACACGTCAGCTTAACTCCAGTATGTTTCATTATATGCGGAGCTAAATACTGCGCTTTTGTAGTTTTATATTCACAATGTGTACATTTATATATCTTATGAGATACAGAAGCACTTAACTCTGGATGCTTCTGTAAAATGTGGTTGTCTAACGATCGTTTCTCTGTAAATGACGCATCACACTTTGTGCACGTGCACTTAACTCCAGTATGTTTCATCATATGTATGATAAATTGCGACTTTTGTAGAGATTTATATTCGCAATATGTACATTTATGTATCTTACGAGATACAGAAGTAGTACACTCTGGATGCTTCTGTAAAATGTGGTTGTCTAACGATCGTTTCTCGGTAAATGACGCATCACACTTTGTACACGTGCACTTAGCTCCAGTATGTTTCAACATATGCCTAACTAAATGCTCCTTATATGCAGTTTTATATTCACAATGTGCACATTCACGTATTTTACTAGACTCGGATACGGCAAATTTGGGATGTTTATGTAAAATGTGATTTTCTAATCGAAGTTTAGTATTAAACGAAGCGTCACAGTTTATACACTTGAAAGTCGTTGGACTAGCATGTTTTGCCATATGCTTTATAAACCTACTCCTACGGATTCCTTTGTGTGCACAATGCATACATTCATATATCTTACTAGAAATTGACCCGATAAAGTTTGGATGTATTCTTAAAATATGATCAAACAGCGATTGTTTTGATTTAAATGACGTATTACAATGTTTGCATATGATCAGTTTAATAGTATGTCTTAGCATATGCCTGGATAAATGCTTTTTATAAGCGGTTTTAAAATCACAGAATGTGCATTTATGTATTTTAGATGAAACTGACGCAATAGATCCTGCATGATTTTTAACCAAATGGTTATCTAGTGATGCTTTGCTTTTGAATGACTTATTACATTTGATACAATACTGATACTGTTTTTTGGATACAGATCGTGATTTTCCCAAACTAGATCCTAAATAGCAATTTTTCCTTTTGATATGACAGATCAAACCCTTTTTATAATCGCTCGTATAGTTACAAATATGGCAGCTAAACGACTGTTTCCCTTCTTCAGCCGGCGGATTTCTTAGTTTCGTTTCCCGCTTTTTCCTTATTTGTGCGCTGAAAAAAAGTTCCATTATAGTTTACGTTTTTTAATTGATAAAGATGATCGATTTACAGTTTTGTATTGCGCGGCAAAGTCTGAAGTTTGCATTGAACGTTGTTCCTATAAATACATGATCCTTTCAAGGAAGTGATTGATTTGTATATCATGATTAAATATCATCACTTGATATAGGTGTATATCCGATACGTTCGATGATTGTATTTATTTGGTTAGAATTAGAAATGTTCTATCCTAAACGTCGGTAAATTGTCATCGTATCGATTTTTTCCAGCTGTGTTGATAGTAGCTGAAAGTGATGTGCCAAAAACAAAGCTTTCAACTTACAAATGCATCGCAGAACGCTAAAGTGGTACGTACTCCTAATATCCAAATATTGCTAAAATATATAAATATTTCTCCTAAGCGATGTGTCTGTGATGACCACTTGAATCTATTACCGATTTTACAGTCGGCAATGGCCTCCAAGACGATGCAGCATCGTGCCGTGTTAAATTACACTGATAAACACAGGATTTGTGACATGACAATTTTTGGGTGTATCTTATGTATTGTGAGACCCTTAAATCAAATCTAAAAACATAATTTTTCTATTTGGTAATATCTACTTTTATGAATTACAATATGTAACATCTCATATTGCTGTATTTCTCGGCGTTGATGCGATGACGCACATATATAATGTTAAGACCTGTCTATTCCTGTTTATTATATGCGAGCTCTATGTTTAGAGAACATATTAGTAGACTAATAGCAGCCGAGTCAGTAACGTTTTCTGTGTTGAAGAGTCTGAGATGTTCTGAGTACTGTTAATTTATGTTAAAACGGTGTGTTGTTTTTAGTTTATTGTGATACTTGCTTTATGGACAATGCCCAGAAATTGTGCAAATAGAGTGAACAGTTTTTTTTATGTGTCCAGAGAGCTAACTTTTGAATCCCAAAAACGTACTTTTACTCTCCTGGTGTTGAAAGCATATGAACTTTATTTTGGAATTAAAGTTGGCGACCAAGATAGTAGATAGTCTAAGCCGTTTCGGTCTCACCAGTTTTTAAATCGATCGCTAGATGGCGCTGCACAAACCAAACGAAATCTAAATGTCATTGATGAGTTGGCGGTCTCACCGCTAGATGGTGCTGCGTTCCATTCCGACGTGTGTGGTTCAAACAGGATTGGGTGACCGCCCACACAGCCAGAGCAACGATCAACTATTTCATTCTCTCTTCCGTGGTCGCTTTGTTTACAGGTTTGACGATGTTCGTTGGCCTCCTCGGTCCCCAGATTTATCCATCTGCGATTTTTTCCTATATGGACACCTCAAGGCTCGAGTATACGAGCACAAGCCCCGCACTCTGAAAGAGTTGAAGAGTCTTCGCGAACTTTCAAGAACGCTTCCACACTTGATTGCGAACCCGAATCCGTCAATAAATTTATTTTTGAGTAAAAATTACCGATTTTGTGATTTTTTAAAAACCGTCTGATCTTTGTGTAGATTAGAACATTTGTGTGGCGTGACGAGAACACGCCCTAAACAGTCCATAAGAGTTTCTCTTTCTTATATATGGGGGCTGCCGTAGGCCATTTGGGTAGCAGTGACGTTAAGGCTAGCAAGTCAACCCCTTTCCTTTGTAAACTGTAAAAGTAGACTCACCTATCGGTCGGCGAGTTATGGTCGTCACTTTGGTCGCTCTCAGTTTTGATGTCAAACTCTTCATGCAGCCCCACTGCGTCCATATTTTCAAAATCTGTGCTGCTTAAATCTGGTTTTTCTTCCATCTTTTCAGATTCTTGGAACCCCAGCTTCCTCTGTTCAACAGAATCTGCTGTCGAGTCAGGTTCAATCCCCGATTCTATTTTCTCTTCTTTAACTCTAAAACGGTAATAAAGAGGGCGGTCAATTTACAGTGCTCCCCTTCCCACTTATTTTTCGAATGGGATGATGATGTACACGCACGGATACCATATAGAAACATTTTTTCAAAGAGCATTAATGCCATTTGGCAGGGGGATTACGTACGCTATGCTCAAGCTATCTCAATGTATTATGCTATACTCAGGCTATGCTCAATCTAGCTATACTCAAACTATCTTAAGCCATGCTCAAGCTAAGCTTTGCAATACACAAAATATATAGCTCAAGATATGCCAAACTAGCTATGCTCAAACTATACCCAAGCTATGCTCAAGATATGCGCGTGCTAGCTCAAGCTATACCCAAACTATGCTCAGGCTATGCTCAATTTATTTCAAGCTCAAACCATCTCAAGGTATACTCAAGCTATCCTCTGACTATGCTAAAGCTATCTCAAGCTATGCACAAGCTAAGCTTAAGCGATACTCAAGGTAAGCGCATGCTATGCTCAAGCTATCTCAAACTATTCTCAAGCTATGCTCGATCTAGCTAAACTCAAGCTATCTCAATCTAGGCTTTGCAATACTCAAGCTAGACTGAAGCTATGCTCAAGCTATGCTCATGCTGTCTCAAGCAATGCTCATGCTGTCTCAAGCAATGCTCATGCTGTATCAAGCAATGCTCAAGCTGAGAATAAGCAATATTCAAGCTATCTCAAATTATGCTCAACTATCACAAGCTATACTCAAACTATGCTCAAGTTATTTCAAGCTATGCTCAATCGATGCTCAAACTATCTCAAGGTTATACTCAAGCTATCACAAGCTATGCTCAACCCAGCTATACTGAAGCTACTTCAAGCTATGTACAAGCTAAGGGTAAGCATTACTCATGCTATGCTCAAACTATCTTAAACTACTGTCATGCTATACTCATGTTATCCCAAGCCATGCTCAATCTAGCGATATACTCAAACTATGCTCAAGCTAGGCTTCACGATACTCAAGCTAAGCCAAACTAACAATACTCAAGCTATGCTCAAGATATGCTGATGCTATCTCAAGCCATGCCCAAGCTATATCAAGCTATACTCAAGCTACCTCAAGCAATGCTCAGGCTTAAGCAATACTCAAATTATGCTCAATATGTCTCAAAATATGTTCAAGCTATAACAAACTACACTCAAGCTATGCTCAAGTTATTTCAAGCTAAGCTCAAGTGATGCTCGAACTATCTCAAGCTATCACATCTTATGCTCAAGCTAGCTATACTCTATCACAAGCTATGCTCAAGCTATTTCAAGCCATGCTCAAGCTATCTCAAACTCTATATGTTCAAGCTAGAGTTTTAATTCATTGTGGCCAACTTAGGATTTTACCCAGGACAATGCCACTCTGTATCTGTTTAATTTGTTAAATAGCATGTTATGATTTGAGCAGTCATATGCTTCAGAAGGCCATTCAAAAGGGTCGCCCTCCTCACTTATTTTTTGGAAAGGATGATGAGGTTTTTATGCATAAATCCTACATTTTAGCATAGAATGTTGAAATCTTCAACATACCTCGAGCATTTTTGTTAAAAAAACATGGGACACCATGATGATATCTTATTTTGAAGCTTACCCTAAACAATAACTTGAAAAAAGTTTATTTATAACCTTTTTGAAAACTACTGTATAGTTGAATGTTTTGTTTCTATGGTATCATTAGAACATATATGACATAGGTACAAAGCATAACGAAACCTACCTGTCCCATATTAAATGACATACAGGATCTTCATTATATTCAGATTTGATGTTAAGCTGTTCATTCAGTATCATCGTGTCCATGTTTTCAATCTTCAGGTCGTCCACGGTTGGTTCTGTATCTGGTTTTTCAGATTTAACCTCAACTACTAACTGATTCTTCATTTTCACCTGGTTAACACCAATCCAGTGTTCATTTTTCTGCATACTACAATAATGGTTTTTCAAAGTTATTATCCTGTTTGATGATATTAGTTTCCTCAATTTAGATGCTACAACTAATCGTATTGTGGAAAGATCCAAGATATCACTTTGTTAAGGATATGGCGATAACTGAAATTTGAGACTAGAAAATGGGTCACCATCAAATTAATCTCAGATTAGGAATGTATGGAATGGAATGGTTTTACTTTGAGAGTACACATTTTTATATGACTTATAACTCAATAAAATAGGAAACCTACAACCTGGGTTCACACGTTTTACAGAACCTTTAAGTCCAATGAAGAGATAAGTGGAATTATATATGACTCCAAATCATACCTATCGTAATCTTCCGATTTTCTGCAAGGCTTATCATCAGTTTTTGGCTCCATAGTAAATATTGAATTGCTTGCCTAACCTCTAAAGAATTTCCAAATCAATTAAAAAAGCGAGGCAACAAGAAATAAAATAATCGTCTCAAAGATTATTCACACAAAGACCACGAATCTACAAACCCGGATTTGTGTTAAATAATCAAACGCAACGAACAACTCAACCACAAAACAAGCACATTTATCAAACGGGAAACGGAGGCTTAAGCTTAACCCACAAGCTAAGTCATAAGTGACATCTGCTGGGGCAATAGATAAGTAACTACTTTTCATACAGATTTTAGTATTAAAGTTACATATATTTTCTTAAATTACTCACAGATATGGCTAAATGTAATTTTGGAGTGACCTGAGATTATTATTTCTCGATACGAAACGAGTCGAAGCAGATATAGTGGATACCAAATAAAATCCGATGCACGTCATAGGTGATGTCATTCATAAAAATCATGGTTACCAACAGTTGACTACATTTAATGTGACATTTCTACTTGAAGTTTAAATTTCCCCGTCTCGATTCGGTTGGTAGTGCCGTGCAGAGAAATGTGAGGTTGCCACTTCTCATTTGTTGACATCAGTTGCCATTGTCCTTTTGTCGTACTATTAGTTCTTTATTGTTTAGTTTGTGAGTTTTGCGCTAGTTGAGCTTTAAATCGTTGCCTTGCCAATTAAAAATTGTTCTTTTCAGAACAACAGTTACTGTGAAGTGGTGTAAAGTATCCAAAATGCCAAAACAACTTAACAGTCGGTGTAAAGAGCTCATATCATTGAATATCTACCAAAATCAGGTGTTTTTATTCAGAAAGGAATTTAATTTTACAACAAGTTTATTTATTTTAAATACAATGGTATTATAGTAAATGGTAGGTATATATAAACAATTTATTTTATTGAATTTATTTGCTTAAAAGAAAATGTGCAAACTCTGGCAACAGCGAACAGCTCCAGATCGATGACGTGCATCGGATTTTATTTGGTATCCACTATATAAGGCGTATTCTTTAATTCACCGGTTGAGTCACCGGTGCAACCAATTAACCAATTTTACTTCTTTTAATTTCCGTCCGAGCGACCGGTTGTACACCAAACTTGTCTATATAGCTTATAGACTCAACCGGTGAATTAAAGAATACGCCTTATATTTTGACTCGTTTCGTATCGAAAAAAAGGAAAATGACCATTTAGCGGCATCTAGGAATTTTTAGTCAAACCAATGGTATGCAAGTCCAATTTTCTCCCGCTGGGCAGCGCTTGTGTGATTGTGATCAAAACTGTCAAACGTAGATTGATTGTGGAAAAAGAAAAACAATATAGAAAAGTGATGCTTTTATTTACTGTTACTTTTCATTTTTTAACGTCGCGCCGATTATTTTTAAATTTGAGAACATTGTTTACAATCTTTGAGAGAGTTATTTTATTCAATATTAAGCGAACAGCAGCCTATATCCAGTATTATATGAAGCCAAAGACTGATTTCGAACGGATAAGGCTTTTAAGAGGTCAGAACAAACTTATTCTGACTACGTAGCAGACAGAGACAAACCCTTCTAGTAGCAGATTAGGATAGGTATGAATACCAGTCATGTCGCGACATTGTCATTTGTCTTTGAAGCTTGCCAGCAGGGCTATTATGCGAAAAACCTACAAATAGTTCATTCCACTTTTGCTCGCTATGATCGCTTTTAGCTGACGTTTAAGCAACACGTACAGCATAAAACGAATTCACAAGTGTACAACATGTGCTGTCTTAGGCCCGTATCGTCAGTCGTCCCTACAATTGTAGGGCGCCTTTATGGCCTCCTTGATTGTCATAGTTTTCTACTTCTTCGTGTCAGCGCTCTATTTTGAGGTTATGTCACAAACATCTATTTGCATCAAATTGTGCTTGCTTTTGAGTTATATCATGTTTTATCAGCCTGAAATTTCCTACAATTTAAAAGGAAAACATATCTTAACAATAGGAGAGCGCTGACGCTGACACGGGACGAGTGTAATCTAGAAATTTTTGAAGGAGAGAAAAGAGTATGACAATCAAGGAGGCCATAAACGCACCCTACAATTTTAGGGCGCCTTTATGGCCTCCTTGATTGTCATAGTTTTCTACTTCTGCGTGTCAGCGCTCTATTTTGAGGTTATGTCACAAACATCTATTTGCATCAAATTGTTCTTGCTTTTGAGTTATATCATGTTTTATCAGCCTGAAATTTCCTACAATTTAAAAAGAAAACATATCTTCACAATAGGAGAGCGCTGACGCTGATACGGGACAAGTGTAATCTAGAAATTTTTGAAGGAGAGAAAGAAGTATGAAAATCAAGGAGGCCATAAACGCGCCCTACAATTGTAGGGACGGCTGACGATACGGCCCTTAGAAAAACCTACGTTATGTCACAAAACACCTACGAAATGTCAAAAAAAAATATTTTACTTTTCAAGTTATGTAATACCCGTTCCGGAATATTATTCAAAAACATCGACACGCAAAACAAAATACAAAAAAAAAATATTTACAGTTTTTATTTTTCTGAGCGGAAACCCTGCATAGGATTGAAAAAGAAGAAGCAATCAAATTGCTTGGAAACGATTAGGAACTTCAAAAATAATTTTTATTTTAAGACAGATCAGTGGTGTATCAGCAAAGTCTGCTCTACCAAAATAGGTAGGAGAAATTCAGTACCAGCACCACTGGAACTAAAAAAAAATGGTACATTAAAAAATGCCCGTTTCTTTAAATATTGACATTCAATTATGAAACACCCTGTTGTATGACAATTATTATTTGGTAGAATATAATCGAAATCACGAAATATGACGATTTCGACATCATTTTAGTCTGTAGTAAAGACAAACGACAGCGATTTGTGAATATTTTTAATGAAGTTTCAGATACGTTAGACAGAGATAAACAGAATTTTATTGTCTAAACAAGCTGTATTGCTAATTTCCATGTACATATACGATAAAGATAGACGATATTTTCATGTTGCATGATCGATCATATTTGAAAGATGAATAGTTAGGTTATGTTAAAGCAGGTTATGTTGTTTTCGAATAATACTTTTTTATTTGGTGTTCCTGTCAAGGTATTCTACTCATAACCGTTTTTTTTTTCATAACAAAAACTCCCCACTATTATTAAGGTATCACTCAAAACCATGAAATAAAATGAAAATAAAAATAATCAGTGAAATAACCTAACTTCGAAAAATCATAATATAAATGTGTTGCCATTATGTTCCTGACATCGTGATTTTATCATCGACGTACGTCCATTGAATACTTCAGTACAATTTATGGTATGGTCATCTTTCGTGATTCTGACTATATACTAATCATTGTCTGAAGTTAACATTGTTTTAGAATCAAAGATGGATTTACTGGTTGAAGTTAAATCCGAAAAATTAGATACAGAACCAACTGTGCCCAGCGCCAAGTGTGAAAATATAGAGACTTTTGTTCTGAATGGAGAATTAGACATTAAATCTGAATATATTGAGGATACAATATCTGATTTAACATGGGATAGGTGGGCCTAATTTTGCTTACCAGAGAAACAAATCAGTCAGTTATACAGTGCTGATCAAAAAGGTCGCCCATATTTATTTTTTGGATGGGTCAAGTTAGCAAGCTGAAATTTGGAATGAAGAAATTGCCAGAGGTGGATCTAAGAACACGTTTTTATTTATTTATTGTTCTTCCTGACATACATATACATGGTGTTCCTTAATAATATGCGAATATTTAAGGGTGTGTATCTACATCAAAAATTATTGTTACTTTGCTTTATAAACTATGGTCCAAAAATATTTCCTTGCAAAAGTTGGGGTGTTGAAGTTTTAGGAAAAAATGGAAATTAATTAATATTTTCAGAACCGCTTCAGATATTTCACCGATATTTAGTACATAGTGAAAGTTAATAAAGTCGCATATTTTTCAACGCAAAAATAATTTTTAGCTTTAACAGTTGCGTGCGTACGCGGGTATTGACTTAGGTATTTTTTAAGAAAAAATGGTATGCCAATGGTTTTTTGCCAAATAAAAATTATTTTTGAATTCCCCGTTCAATTTAAAACAAATGATCTCTCTTGAATTGTTTTCCCTCGATACGCCATTTCGGAGTAAAAAAATAAAAACCGTTCTATTGTCCGAGAAAATTAATGTAACAATTGAAGAATGCAATTTAGCAATAATATCTAGTTGCTAACATTAATTTTTCATGTAGATTCACACCCTTAAATATTCGCATGTCATTAAGGAACACCCTGTATAGGTATAGAACTTCTCAAAAATCTGATCAAAACAGTATATATATATACTAAGTGACATATAAATCCGAACACCCAGTTTAAATGGTTTTATTTTAATAAAAGTTGGTGAATGTCACTTTATTATTATTCACTCAGTTGCATTACGTGATTATATTCTATTGAGGAAAAAAACACGCAAGACGTGGCCCAACCG